GAAGTTAACTAATTAGACGATTAGTTTACTTTTACAATGACCAGTGTTTCTGAAATCGGGCGTCAGAGGATTGGAATCTACGTGATTTGTAAATCTTTCCGTACATTAACGAATGTCCTGGCAAAGTTTTCTGCCACTGGTTAAATTAAAATGCAGCACATGCCGCGATATAAACCTAAAATTTCTGAGAAATCTCACTATATCGCGCTTGTCAGTCCGTTTATATCAACAGTACTTCTTTTGCATTTCAAAGCGATTTTACAAAATATAGTACTAAACTCTGGCGTATTTTTATACGGAGTAGAAAGGCATACGCAAATGAGTGGAGCTGCATTTACAAAAAACAAGACGCGCTGGGAAATATCAAATATGCTAGTTAGACACAAGACTTTATGTGAAAGTTGCGAAGGGAGCTGGTGGTTCACCTGATGTAAGGGAATACTACCGCCCATGGACATCTGCTACACCCAAGCGTTGACAACCTTTTGAAAATTGGGCTCCGGCTACCTAGCTCACCAGACGAAACGCGAAAGTATTATACTTCCACTTTACGGCGGTCTTCTGTGAGGTCGTGGTACCTACCCGGACGAGCCTGCCCATTCGTGCAACAGCCGAGGCTGCTGCGTGGCCCTACCACCGTTGAGAAGATAGTCTAAGAGTATTCTTTTAGATTTTAAAATGTTAAAAATATATGGTGGAGGATGTCTGTTATAATTAACATATCCGACCAATTATAAATGGTCTTTGTTCATCAGAACGTTGCAACGGTTTTTAATAATGATTTATACTCCCCGACAAAATATTCTAAAAGAATATCAGAACAAATTAATAATATAGTCAAGATAGCAATAATGGGGTCGACCTTTCATTGCGTCAGATTTGTTTTATTTTTAATTAACTCATCCACGCGATAGACTGCTAAGCAGTTCTTTTTTATGTGAGAAGTTGACAAACGATCTGGCGGTTCACCAGATTACAAGTGATAACCGCCGGCCATGGACATTTGCAACACTCATAAGGTTGTAGTTGCGTTGCCACCTATTAATAATGCGGAGATAAATGCTACCTCACTCACCAGACGAAACACAGAAGTGTAACATAGTTCTTATAACTAATCAGTAATTTTACTATTCATTAGTATTCTTTGCCGAATGGAATGAATTTTTATCTTATTAGCTTAGCTTAATTATTTAAGGCGTCTAGGCGCGTTACACAAAATAAGCAGGTTCGACCCTCGAAATGCCGACGGTTTTTATTAATTTATGTTCAAAAATTCATATTTTAAGTTTTACCTAGTTTATTATATTACTTTTAGGAAAAAGTAGGGTTTTGATTAGGAGTCTCGTGGAGCGACGAGACAAACTGTTCTATTACTAGTTATTTGTTAATTTACACCTAAAAGCGCGCGAGTGCCGAATTAAAAAATCCTCATTGTGACTAAAGAAACCATTTTTCTAACTACGACGCAGGACCTGAAACGAACGCAGGCCTTGAAACACAAAATGTTTTAAGATTTTAAGATAGTGGCGGTGATATATTCAGATAAGGTTGTTAATAGGTGCTTTTTATTTACTACGTTCTGCGCTTGTGATATACAATATTATACATACGATATACTGATTGACTAACGTTTATGAAGCATATTTTTTCCCGAATCATTTAACATGATATAGAGATCCACTGCTTACTTTATCATCAACTTTTAGCGGAACTTTTTTGAGGTTGTCACATTTCTCCGGACGAGCTTGCCCACTCGTGCAACACCAGACGCCATTGCTCGGCAGGTGAAACTCTTATGACAAGACAGTAGCGAATATAATTCTAAAACTTATGTGTGGAGGTTGATGACAACAGATGGTCTCTCTCAGCTCTACTCTAATGAGTTATGAAACGGAGCATGATGATCTAGACGTTGACGCCATAGACCCTATAAAATCCCTTCAATCATTCCTTGACTGTTTCTGGAGTAAAAACCTTGCAACGAATTTACTCAAGAGTAGGTAAACAAATTACGTTGACATTCGTGCTTTCAACAAAGTTTTGGAATTCACTGAATATTCCATTTGTCAAATATACTAAAAGCATCACACAAAATGTACATCAAACGTGAAACAAGACAAGTATTTTTATTGCGTTTTTATTTTAGAGCAAACATTTTCATACGCGATATTGCTGAATATTAACTAACAGTATTGTAAAACTGTTGGCCGAGATGGCCAAAGGGCTTGTATTTCAAATTGATAGTTTTTTTTTTCAGTTTTTTTATTAAAGTATCAGCCTATACATGTCCCACTGCTGGACAAATGCCTCCTCTGTAAAGAGGGTATTAGGGCATAGTTCACCACGCGGCCCAACTATATGCAGGTTTCCTCACGATGTTTTCCTTCGCCGCTGAGCATGTGATAAGACATATTTATGTACTGGTTAAAAGTTGCAAAAATATATTGCTATTTTTATTGGCTAGGCACTACTACTTACTTTCAGGAATTAAATAAGTTCAAGGAATAGTATGGTATTTCCTTTGAATCTCACTTTCAACGTTACGCATAAAGTAGCTATTAACTATTTTTATTTTCAGTTTTTTTAGTCCTAAATATGCTCTATAAGATTTATATCCGGGGATATTGCTGGCTGTGCCAGTTATATAGACACGGTTTAGATATGCATGACTGAGCGAGCATTGTGAGCCCGAGCATTATCCAGTCAGATGAAGCTTTAATAGTCTCGGGACTGAAAGCAAAAACATCAGTTAATACAAGATACAAGCATTATCCTGCTTAAGAATAAAGCTATCACCAAAAAGAAGGCGACTAGCAGTAAACATATTCCTTCCATAGACTACCGTGTATATTGCAATCAAGTTTTTCGTTTTAGTTTCTTTTATAATAATTCACATTTTTACAAACCCGTACGACTGTAAATAATTAGGTGCCTCTATCACAGAAAGTATGATTTATGGTCGTCATGGATCATCTAGGATAGTCATACCAAAGGGATTTTAGGGATCCTAAGAGTTGAAAAGTTATTAATTTGGAGTAACGTCAGTTTGGGTAACTTTGAACATTTTTTACAGAATTTGTGCTATTACAATGTGATTTAAATCTATTACACCTTTATTTTATTGAATGAATAATGTCCATTTGAGTTGGTTTATTTCTCCGACACAATAAATTTATGAAAAAACAGAACTATCCACAATTTCTCCCCAAACTCAAATTCATAGTTATCGTGAGTTTAGGGTAACTATGAATGTAATTTTTTTAGGACGTAAAAACCATAATTATTCGAATATTTGAAAGTTTGGGTAAAATGATATGACGTATTTTCATTAAATAAAACCTTATCTCTAAAAATTACATCTAAATTAACGTTTAAATGTGATATTGCATTGAAAGTTTTTTTTTTTACTTTTCGTTATTTCAAAACATTTTGGCGATCGTTTTACGCAGTTACGATATTGAAACAAAAACAGTTTTCGTGTAATAAATCTTTTTCACAACTTTGATCAAAGTTAAACCGCAATTCAAAGTTACCCAAAACGACTGTCGTTTGTTTCAATCAATAGCCATTTATTATAAACGGAGCATTCCGTTAGTCAAAGGCAAATTACTGTAAGAATAATGTTTGATTTTCAACATACCTTGTATACAGGGAGATTTTTTGAGAAGTGCCCACATTTACATAAGAGTAAACTCGGTAGTATAATCGATTATTGAAATAAAAAAAATTAGTTTTTTTTTTCCAAAAAAATGCCATTCTATTCCCTAAAAAACAGAACGTGTTGACAATGCGGTAGTCTAAATTTTACTGTGCAGGAACTTGTGTGCGTGTTAGTTATGAATGATCTCGCGTAAAATAAATGAGTTGCGTATAAATCACGCACTTTTTGAGAAAGTTCAAATGAATGTAATTAATTACTTACGAGTGATTTTAAATTTTTATCATTTTTTATATAACATAATTTATGTCTAGAATTTAATAAAAAAATGGATACCCTTAAAAAAGCCCCTGTATATATTATTTGATAATGAAACGTTTTTACGTACATACTCAAATTGATCATATATCATATGTGTATAGTATGTTTTAAATTGATAACATTATTTATGTTACACGTATATACATACACACGTATATATATACACACAAATATATCAATCCCTGGGTCATGTTTATCGGGTTAGCGCATCATTTTAAATAAAAATAAAAATTATCTTGGAGGCACGCTCTTATAATACCCGATTAACGTTATTTTATTCTAGTCACCTCGAATTTTTCCCATTCCAGTGTATTTTGTGCATATCAACACTGTTTCTAAGGAATGTTTAATAATCGAATCACAAAGTCAGTTATTCTGACTGTCTTTTGATTTATCAAGTATAAAATAACCTGCTGAATACAAGATCAGGTTTAAAAGGATTGGCAAAGACCAGCAACATATTTGTTTCATCACTTTAAGTAAGTCGTACATTTTGTAATCTGTATTAACCCTATACAAAGGTTACCTCATTGTTTACATTGTATATTGTATATAACTAAATATTAGTAAACATTTCCTCAATCAAATATTCAAGAAAAAATTATCCAGTTTATAATCTTATCTAATAAATATTTAGTCACTTTGCTCATAACTAATGTATATCCGTAACTTATTTAAATGAAAATATCAAAACCTAATTATTTTTTAAGATAATATTGATGTTTAATCAAATTAGATAATCAAAAAGAAAAAAATTGATAAACATGCAGTTATCACATTTGTTTGCCTCTTTACTAAATTTGTGTACGAAAATAGAGCCTCACATAGCTAAAATTTTATGATCCAAATATTGTGCTGACCCCACCTAGGTAGTATAAGGGCAAGAGAAAAAAATACGAATCAATTTAAAAATAATAAAAAATAATAAGGAGTTTATAACATTTAAAACCTTTTCAGAGATTACCCATATTGAAGACCATTGTAGTACTTTCGCTCTGGGTGGCTTTGACGATCACCACATATGGATACAGTACCGTGCACGATGACCTCGATGTACATACAGGCTATGGTCGGCCATAAAGACGAGTTGCAATCGGTTCTCGACTGTTTCACCGACAAGAAACCTTGCAATGATGTCACTAAACACGTTAAAGGTAAACATTGCAACTTTATGTGTACACAGGAATAAATAATATCTACGTATTTTCATACCACTTCGAATTTATACTAGCCCAAAAGAAAAATTCAGAAGGTTTGGAAAAAATACTCTTAATACAAGCAAAACTATTTTTTTTTAACTTATTTGTTTAATTTATATAGAAGTTCTAGACGTTTCAAACACTTTACAGTATCTAAGATCAAAGGACCGACTTGGGGAATTTACAACAAAGAAAATGTGTAAAATAGTTATACTTTTAATTTGTAGTGTTCGTTTAAATCCAGAAAATCATTAAAATGCTCGAAGTTACAAAAAAGAATAAAAAAGTTAAAAAGGCATTATATACTCCGTGATCCTCTCGTTTCTCAATGTTAATAATAACATACACAAGAATTGAAGAATTACTGACATATTTTACTTTTAATGTTAATTATTCATCTTTTGTGACTATACCTACTGAAATCATTTGTCGATTAATAAATAAATTCGTTCTTCTTATTCAAAACTCTCACTATACCAATTTACAAAATCATGATTTTCTTTATTTTTAATACTTATTAATAACGAAGGCAATCTCTTGTTTAATGTCAATTGTTATGTTATTTAAGTGTCGGCATACTGTAAAGTTGTCCAGTCGCTGACGCCAAGCAAGGCTAAAAATGAAATAAATGAAGTAAATAGATGTTGAGATTTCGCACCGTGAATGTATCGAGCTCTTAGCTTTATTGACTAATGCGTCTGGGTGCATCATCCAGAAGCGTAGGTTCTAATCCTGTTAGCGCAGATATTTCGACAATTTATCCATTAAACTCACATTTCAATATTCTTTTAGAGTGCAAACTAGCTCTAAAAATAATAAAAAAGACTTAATTTATTACTATTACCACATACTAGCTGATTACCTACCGTGATGGATCTCCGATTGTTCAAGTTTTGGGGTTTTCATTTTTCTAAACCTAAGTCGCTTTTTTTTGAGCCGAAAACGATTTTAAGTATCATAATTGTTGTTTATAAAAGGCGGCTTTGGAAAACTTTAATAATAACATTTAAAAAAACTGATACAACAGTCTCTTAAATAATAATGGAATCGGACATTTTTTTTAATCTGACTTCAATATGGCGGATTTCCATTCCATGTAACACGCCTAAAACTAATTTCATGATATTCTTTTTAGTTAGATAATGACAGTTCCATCAAAATCGATTCTATCGTCAAGCAAACTAGTTCGGACAGGACAAAAGATAGAAAAGTTTGTTTGTTTCCCGGTAAAGTTACAATAACTATTAGTTGAATCGTTAGTTCACTCAAATCTCAATATGTTAAAAACATCATCCGAAATGAGATTTCCTTTTTATTTTACTTTGAGATCACCGACAGGTTCTTGTCTTTTATTTATATTTTTTTTTAAAATATAGAAACTACCTCTGTATGGTTATGAGACATGACAACTTAATTAGTAAGCCGTAGCTTTCCCTTACTTCGAATAAACGAAATAAAGAAAAATCAAACAATATAAATGTGGTATGAATACTACTTCAAAGGGTTAAGTCATTCGCGCGGGTATACGATAACTATGAGGCTAATTATATACACACCAACTCAAACGTATTTATATATCTGTATAGAGTATCTGTATGTATAGAGATAAGGAACATATCGTTCGAGAAACATAAGAAAGAAAACTGTTGGATAAGAATGAAACACACTGTTGCATAAGATAGTCCTGTGTTTAAGTGGTGCTTTACATACACCGTCACAAATAGATCATGCAAACACTTGTTCCGAGAGGAAATCGAAATGACGACCCCCGGAGCAAAAAACTATAGCTGCACACCCTCGCCGCCCACAAACACACATTAATGCGCATTATGTAAAGTCAAATCTAAGTAACGGCCAATATATGACCCACTGCCTGATCGTGATCCACGCGGCCTCATTGCAGATTAGCAGACTTCATATATCTTCAAAACATTTTTTTTATTATTTCTAAAATATGCGCTCACCCTTCTCCACTCACTCAAGTTCTCCCCAACGATGTTTTCATTCACCGTTAAGCTTGATAAGTGATAAGTCAGCAATTTAAAATTGCAATTAACAATTTCATTGCTGTCGGCATGAGGATTTGAACTCAAGTTGTTCGAGTATATTGAATTTACGCCTGGGCACTGAGCTATCAAGGCGTAACGCGTAAGTATTATAAACAATTTTATGTATTAAATTCATAAAACGTCCGCAAAATCCTGGAGGAATCCCACGGTATTGACGATTTCCGCTGGTATAAAAAGCGGTGTGTTACGCGAGAATTTTTCAATATATAAACATTAGCGTGCGAATAAACATTTAGAACTTTGGCATTTAAATACTTGTCTGCAAGTTTCAAGTAAGTCTCGTTTACGTACAATTAATTATTTACATACAATCCATTTGTTTAAAATATTGCAGTACCTAATATTATGTATCTAAATTCTTGTATCTGCTGAAGCTCCATTTTTTGCTTTTGAAAGACACAACGGGTATAACAAGTAAGAAAAAAGTTTACAAAAACAATAACAATCTCATTAAGATCCATCTAGAAAAAGGAATAATAACACACGCGTATAAGATTCGACTTAAACTAGTCTTCATTATGCTATTATTATATGACTTTTTGCTGGTCTGCACTTTATTGAGTATTATCTAAAAAAGTTCTTATACTAGCCCCAAACTAAGCGCATAAAAGCCGTCGGTTTATGTTTATATTTGCCGCTATTGAAGAAAAAAAGACCAGCAGAATAGAGTTAACGTTTTAATAAAAAAAACTAACCATTTCAAAATTTCTAATTTTATTTTTTTATATTTGAAAATTAGTGTATATTATAGCAAATTAACAAACTACATAGATTGAACCACGTTAACAGGCAGCGGCGAAACAATTATGCGAAAGTTTTATGTCTCGCATTCAAAGTTTCATTTTAAATGCAGAGACTACTAATATTTAAATGAATTTAAAAAATTGAATGTATAACGTAATCGCCTAAATAAGACACTAATGATATAACCATTCGGTAACAAATCACGACATTATACGAAACATTTTGCACGGGTTAGTTAGATGCTATTGAATTATTTTTATCTTAAAAAGTTAATGTCTTTAAAATGATTTAGCGCTCTTGAGTTTAAACTTTGACACAAACTGTTGAGAGTTCGAACTTGTTACTAAGCGGAGTATCTCTTATAACTAGGTACTAGTTTAACTTTCTCTTGTATGTCAGCTCCAATAATAATTATTTTTGATAAACTGTTTGTTTTCGTTCGTACACAGAAGACGATATAATTGATACGTTAAGCGTATACAGTCAGTACGTTAAGTTCTCAGCTAGCGTTTACACGTGCAGTTTTTGTTTCAGAGATCCCGAAAAGCGAGAAAATTAAGATGAAGTTTGTTTTATTGCTTCCGATTTTCTTAGCGTTGGCTGGCGCCGAAACTTACTCTAGCGAGAATGATGATCTGGACATAGAGGCAGTTGTTAAGAACCTGGACACGTTGAAATCGTTTATAGATTGCTTCAACGACAAAAAGCCCTGCGATGAAGTCCAAGCTGACTTTAAAAGTAAGTATCGATGGTGATCACTAGATATTTTTGTCGCTATTAGTATCTTATGAGGAGTAATTATATACACAGAGCAAAGGAGTTTATTGCAAGTATAAGTTCTCCAAGTATAGAATATTTGTAGTAGAGCAGTATTTTTAGTAGTTGCAGATTTACTTTGAAACCATAAAAAATTTAAACTATATTCCAGTCGACGCTTAAATTGCGATGACTATTTAAAAGGTATTAACTTTGTCTAGTGATACTTTTTACCCATATACTATACTATATTATTTAGCTTATATTTACACCATTGTTTGTTAGAATTTTGGTTAAAGCTAACAAACTGAAAAAAACGACATTTATTTTTAAAATTAAAATTTGTAGAAAAAGTGCAGAGATTTTAGCACTATAAAAAATTAAATGACACAAGATTTGTTTTCAGTCGTACATAATTTATATTTTATTTCATTTTCCTTTTTTTCCTTTCTATAATTCTCCATTCATAGAGGATTTGCCAGAGGCCTTCCAAGAGTACTGCGGCAAGTGCACAGCAGCTCAGAAGCACATTTTCAGGAAATTCTTGGAAGGCGCAGGAGAGAAGTTGCCTAAAGACTTGGAAGAGCTCAAAAAGAAATATGACCCAGACTCGAAACACTTCGCTGCACTTCAAGCTGCTATTGCAAATGCCTAATAAAAGAGCATATTAACTTTAACGAAAGAAAGAAAGGTGACATGAAGGAAAGAAAGAAAAATTAAATTAAAGAAATATTGAAATGACACCTGATTCTAATAAATATTTAACCTGTTAGGGTCGTATAAAATGGGTAGCATTAATTACCTCCTTTTCCTAAACAATAGCCATACATGAGACTAAAAAAAAAATTATACCGACATTCATTCAGTTTAGAAATATTTTTACTTATTTATATAAATACTTACACATTTATATGAATATTTAGTTATTTATTTTTAAAATATACCGACTTATTTAAGAAGTATAACGTACTTAAGTACGCACGTTAAAAGTTATACTTCTTTATCGTAACAAATATAACTAAAAATCTTATCTCTTTGTCAGTATTCTTTGGCTGCACCTACTCTCATATTTCTTTCCAAACCTGCCAAAAGAAGTATAACTTCAAAATATCTAAATGTCATAAATATTAAGTATCATTCATGTATTTTCTCGTTTTCATTATCTGTAACAAATGTTTTAAGTTTTTTGGATTGGAAAATACAAAATTTTAGGCAGAAAAAAAAAAGGGAAAATAGTAGAAACTTAGTACTTACTTTATTGGCGCAAAAAATAATCCGGTCCCAAGATATCTTCCGGTCTGGTTTTAGATGTAACACGTTATCTTGTCTCTATCTATCGTATCTGTAACATAATGCTTGAAGCGGTGTGCAGTTGCACTGAGACACTATATGTAAGATATACGAAGCCACAACATATCAAATTCTAAACTAACTATTACGCATAATACGCATATGCGTATAACCTTTTTCCTTTTTTTTTACATGGCCTTTACTTTGGGATAACATTATCCTGTGTTGTAGGGACGTTTTACAAACATATATTACACGCGGACAGACACCCAGATTCGAAACAACTATCCGTGGGTCACACAAATAGTTGTCCCGTGTGGGAATCGAACCCACGACCCCTGACGCCGAAGCCTATCGGCTTGGCCACTGCGCCAGGGAGTCATCAAAGTTTTTTAAAGTATAATAACATTATTTAAAAATAATCTAACCATTCCCTTTGTTCGACATTGTCTGACTTTACAGTGATCTTTATTATTTGACATAACTTTCCTTATACAGCAACAGTCAAAACATGTTTTGATAAAAGATGTAAGTTGAATTATTGTATATTTATTTTATTACATTCCTTTTACCTTCATCAACTTCGCATTCAAGTATAAGTAGGTGTACCATTTTTTCAATTCACGGCATTTAAGTGGTGGTATTTTGTCACTATCATTGCCTAATACAAACTTTGAAGTTAATAAAAAGCACGGCACAAGAAGGGAATCAATCAAGCTTATTTATAATTCATATTCAACGTCCTCGTTTTGCCTCTTTTTAACTATTGAAAAGGGAGCCGAACCATTAAATATTTTGGTGATCATGGTAAAAACATATAGACAAAAGTCTAAATGCAGGGTCAGCAAAAGGTCACCACTTCGATTTATCTTACTGATATAAACGAAACAAAAATATGTAGGAATATTACTCATTGTTAATTGTTTAGTGTATGATAAAAACAGTATTTTTATTTAATGGCGGCAGCTATATACACCAGGCTTTGGCAGGGTTATTATTTAAATGAGTCTTTGAAAATTTATTCATAGACAATACTCGTAAAGAATAAACACATTTTTCGTTGTATAATTCGTTGGATTGGAAACATGTAGGTATCATACCTATGTACGCAAATGTGAACGTGATTTTACTTTATACTTTATTGAAATTCTTATTGGATTAATGTTGTCTATAAATCTGGAGTTTGGCATAAAAGATGTTCGCATGTAGAGCATGTCTTGGGCACTGACTCTCGGTTCCTAGATTGCTAGACTGGTTGATAGACGGGTGCGATTACATTGCTTAGCATGTTATATAAAATAAATAAAAAAATACTTCATTAGTAGTAGCGGTAATAGCCTAGTATTTGGGTTCGTTAGTGTTGTTATTACTTAATTGCAATTAATTACTTATTAGTAAATATGTTTTACAAGACTGCTAATGTCCAACAAATTATAACATATTATGTTGACTTTTTTATTTGAAAAAGAGATCATTTAATAATATGAATTTATTATAATGGTAGGCCACTGAAGCGTTGAAACACGTGTTTGTTTTAAGTCGCAAAATGCAAAATCACAAATAACGACGGGCAATACTTGTAGTAAGTAATAATAATGACTTCAAAACTTGCACTATGCATTAATTCCGCCTATTGTAGCCCTTAGTTAAAAGAGGCAATGTAGCATAAATAAATAAATAAATAAACACAGGTAAAGATTATTATTAATATGTAGACCTAAAAAAATAGTTTTACGACCTCCGCTTGATTAAATTGTTTTTTAAACTGGTTTCTGTCCGAACTGTTCATAATATACGGGAAATACGTATTTCAACTGTAGAGTGTTTATGAGCTTAAACTACGTAAGTTTGTAAACTGTAGATGACAAGGTAAAAAACCTAAACCATAAAAAAGGTGGCACTTGTAAGTTTTTCATTGGCATGCTATTTTATTTACTTATTAATTGTATACCAAAAATTATAAAGAGAATTTGCACTCTTACTCTCAAATGAATGTAAAAGAAAGTAAAGTAGGTGGTCTTATCGCTCTGAAAGCGATTTCTTTTAGGCAACCACTGCGAAAAGAATCTTTTCATTTATACAATCACTGAAATAGACTAAAATTTCGAAAAAAAATAGGAAAAAAGAAAGCATGAATTTACAATTCCGTAATCAGGATTTACTAGGTTTTTAAAAGAAAGAAGAGACTTAGCTTGTGGAATGTCTAGGGGCAAAGAATTCCATAAACGCACAGCTGTCACCGTAAAAGATTTCCTTAAGAAGGAAGAGGTATATACAGGAGTTTGGAGGGAGAGATTGACAGAAGAACGAAAGAACCTTTTATGGCTTTTATGAGAGATGGGAAGATACTCCAAGCGATCTCTTAAGTATTTAGAAGTAGAGGGATTAAACAGCACGCTGTACAAAGCAGAGATAATATGGGTATTCCTGCGAAGGTGGATTGGGAATCACTTGAGCTCGAATACGAAAATCGGAAACATGATCATATTTACGAAGCCCAAATATGAATCGAAGGCACATATTTTGAATCTGCTCAAGTTTACTAAGCTGTAGTTCGGTAATGTCAAGATAGCAAATATCATAGTCAGGGATAGTCAGAACTAGTGAATGAGCGAGCTCAACTTCAGTAGCATTAGGAGGAAAATCACGCAGTCTTAGAGAGCCTACAACGGAGAATATTTTCTTACTAGTCTCATTTATCTTCAGTTTCCATGTCATACAGGCGTTAAAAATATTCCCAGGTGCAAATAATTATTCTTTTATTAATAGATTTAACTCTAACTCTATTATTCAAAATATTTTAAAGAAATTTGTTTGTCAATTTTCTATTTACTTATTCTATAATGTTGAAATCCTCGAGGATTTTAAAACAAATGAAACCCATCCAAGAAATCGCTATATTAATCATTAAGATTCATAAAAGACGTCAACGGCAAGGTCGACATTAATCTTCATAGTTTGGTGTGCCTCAAAATATATTTTCGACCGCCAAAATACTTATTAACAATAATGATTCTATATTTTGACGCTATTGTATAGTAAATTTTTACAAGATCATAAATTTGTGATCTAAATTTTCCATGGAAAAATCTTACATTGATAAAAGTTATGAGATTGCTCAATATTTATGATTATTATGATCTCCGGTTAGGTATATTATTAAATGTAAGATAATTAAGACGATCATTCGATAATTTAGAAGCTTTTGATTTTAATACCATTTTTGTCAAAATCGTACGACATGAAACGGGACGATGAGGAGATCAAGTCCTAAAAAAACATTACTTACTAGGAACTGAAATTTCATCGCTAGTCTTTTTTATATTCTCGTCATTCTACCTCAATTGAAGGTTACGAACGGTAATTATCCTAACGTTTTAAAAACAGTTTAAATCATTTGAGAGATTCATTTTAAAAGATCTATTCAGATGAAGCAAGTCGATGGCATGCGAGTATTATTTCTTATTTTATTATTTCAACTTGAAGTAATAGCGCAGGTTACCTATTATGACCGAAGGTATGACTATTATGACGTTGATAATTTCTATCAAAATCCAAGATTGTTGAAGAGATATATGGATTGCTTTTTGGATAAAGGGCCTTGTACTCCTATTGGAAGAGTTTTTAAATGTAAGTGTCTTTTCTATTGTCTTTTTCTTCGTATAAAGTTGGCGTAGAGTAAGCATTCCACGTGATATCGAGTCATTATCACTGGCCATTGTAAGTTGCAGGTGCGTTGCCAACCACGCCAACCAAACGCAAAGGTAGAAAACTTCTACTTTACACTGATCTTCCGTGAGATCGTGGTATTTCACACTTTAGCCTGCCCATTCGTGCATGACTGTGAGTATCACGTAACCCTGCCACAATACAATTTACCTGTCTAGTGTCTACGCCCATTTCAAAGAGTGCTTACAAAACCTGAATTTTAATCTTAATTAAATATAACGAAAATTGAAGAATCAATAAACGATATTTCAGTGTAAATTCAAATGGTACACACAGTCACATGTAGTTTTTCCGAAATTCAGTAATTCGAGTATCGATTAGTATCGATATTAATTTTGAATACCTAACTGGTAGAATCGAATGCAAATCTACAATATATCTATGAATCCAAAAAACATATTTTCGCATAGATTCACACGCTATCTTTTAACAAAAATCAATATAATAAAATATTTCGCATTCATGATTACGGCCCAGATTTAAACTGTTTGTCACGTAAGGAAACTATTACGAAATATGGAATACTTTCATTTATTTTTGGGTTTTGAGGACATTGTAACAAAATAAAAAGCGTTTTACAATTAATAAAGGTTTTAATTTTGTTCTAAGCTCTCAACAACGTTTTTAATTTACGGTTTCAAAATTTCAAAAATCATTTTGCGGGTTTTATTTTCTCATAACCTGATTCTCGGGTAGTATATTTGTATGTTTAAACCCCTGTTAAATTATGTTTCTGCTTCATAAAGTTCTAAAAATGGTTTTAGCGTTTTGTAGCATAAACATTATTGATGGAACAAAATGCTAGAAAAGTTTTTTTTAATGAGAATTAAAAATAACAATGTTCATTAGTCAGCTAATCCGTAAACGATAGTTTTTCGGAATGTTTCTATATAACTACTTAGTGTACTGATAGAAGTTTTTTTTTTCATTAATGAAAAGGGTAAAAGAACTGAAAAAATAGTTTTATACACGAAATTTAATACAAAAATATTTCCGCAATTTTTTCTTATGTGAAAAGTTGCCAAACGAGCAGACAGTTCGCCTGATGGTAAGTGAATATCGTCGCCCATGGACATCTGCTACACCCGAGGGTTACAGATACGTTGACAACCTTTTCGTAAAGTGGGCTCCGGCTACCTCACTCACCAGACGAAACGCGAAAGTATTTGTCATACTTCCACTTTACGCTGGTCTTCTGTGAGGTCGTGGTACCCACCCGGAAGGGCCTGCCCATTCGTGCAACAGCCGAGGCTGCTGCGTGGCCCTACTACCGTTAAATTAAAAGGTTTTGATGGAAATATATTCTTATTAATCCTTATCCTTAAAATTATCTTAGATATCGTAGTGTATCTTTGTAAGTTATAAGGAAACTCAACATCAATATCTAGATAACCAACAACTTTTAATACAGTTTCATTGTTTCTTTTAGCACTTTTACCTGAGGTGGTAGTTACATCTTGTGCGAAGTGCACACCGGCTCAAAGAAGATTCACATGCAGAACGTTCAAAGCTTTCGATAAATATTTACCTGAGAGCCGAGACGAGCTAAGAAGAAAAATCGATCCCCAAAACAAATACTTTGCGGTGTTTCTCAGAGCAATTTGCTTTCGTAAGTAATAACATGTTCTTTGGCAATTTTACCTAACATTTCAAACTGGGTTTATTTTATCTTAGTGGCGAGGAAGTAACGTAATGTAAGGAAGAGTAAGTAACATACATATATATTACGTATTCTGTAGTTCATAAATAATAAGCTTTCACATTTGTAGTCTGATAATACCTACTCACATTAAGGTATAATAAGGGCAATGATTCAATAGATAAGTATTCAATGGGTAAGTTTAGTTTAATTTTAAGTTAGGTACTGTTTTAGAAATCAAACCGTCACACTCGTAGGTTAAGAAATCTTGAAGTATACGCAGCTAAAAGCCACGCCCGTATAGATCGTTGGTGATATTAAGTTCTTATATATTACTAATTTCAAGATTGTAAAAGACCATAAAAAAAAATTGAAAAATAAAGACCTCAAAAATATATGAGGCTTTTTGGGTCCTTTTAACAAAATGTTTGGAAATTGAACTCTTTCGAAAACTTTCTTTTAGTGATCCTTCAACTTATTTTTTTATTAATTCAAGGATCATTTATAATTAAAAACAAGAACAGAGCAGTTTTTAGCAAATATTCTTATATTATGTTTAAACAAATCTTGATTTAGTTAACCTCTATTCTTATTTAGCCGGCTTTGCTTACGATGATTAAGTAACGAATCTTGTATAAGCACAACATTAATAAAAATTGCGTTTTTTAGCTAACGTCATTTTTTGTTTACTCACAAAACAATGTCTTAATTCGTATTTTCCTTCAACAATTTTCGTAGTATTCGACATTGCTTAAGACCATTTCCTGGTAATGTACAACAAACTGACCGTAAGTAACTACCGGCGGGTTCACTATGGGGGGTCCTAGTGTGTGCGTTTCGTGCGTGCCATTAAAGTTCTTATAATTGGTGACGAAAGGTCGAAAATTGACTGTCGTAATGGTGCCACTTTTGGACCGTATGTCAACGAAGGTAGTGGGCTAATCGCCGTCGATATAAAAGCACTGTCGCTTTCAATGGTTGCTAGTCCATTGGGTCTACTATACTGAGTAAAAGGTGGGTTAACGAACTGTTGTAAACTGCTGGGAATCAGTGGCCACGTCCATCATATTGTGAATTGTGTTTCGTAACAATGTGCTTATTATTGCCAAGTGATATTTTACAAGGCGTCCATTAGTCATCACAATAAGCCAGAATTAATTAATGAAACTAGTTAATTACTCCGTGAATGGATAAAATTCAATGAAATTCATTTAATGTGATTGTCTAATTGTTTTATAATAATGAGCCCCATAATATAACCTCGCGTAAATTGCGCCTTTCAACCACTTGCGACCAAAAGGCAAACGAGGCAAGACTAATTTAAATTCTAGACAGGGCCCTAACGTCCCTGAGGTCACTTGAATACTATTCGCTCATTCGTTATCCGGTACAAGGCGTACATTTTGCCGAGCAAAGACATTTCGATCAATTTTATCGAAATTTTAAAAGTTTTATTTTTAGTTGAACTTTGTGGTTGCAGCAAACGCTTCAGAATGAAAACGTTCATCTTGGTAGCCTGCTTGATCCTGTCGGCGTACGCTGCGGAGAAGTACAACTCCAAATATGACAACTTCGACGTAGACACCCTAACTGGGAATGACCGACTCCTCAAGTCCTATATAAACTGTTTCCTCGAGAAGGGCAAGTGCACATCAGAGGGTACTGACTTTAAAAGTAAGTTGTAATGCTACTTCCAAAGTATAATATTATTTATATATTTATAATTATCGTGCCCAGCGGTGAAGGAAAACATTGAGAAGAAACCTGCAGGTGGCCTATGCGTAACACTGGGACATGACTGTTTTATCAAATATCACACTGTTTGTAAATGCGAATATTAAGGATTTATTTTTTCTTCCCGTATTAATATCGAGAATAACAAGTGACGACATTTTAGTTTTGGGTTGGTTTCAGTTAAAAAAAGAATTTGCGTTGTAAATGGCTGCAATATACTTTGTGGTCATAAGTAATTTTGTTAAAGATCACGAAGAAAATGTTAAATTTAATTATAAATGTGTACAAGTACATTGCAGAAAAATTTTCCCTTGACTTTATTAATAGTCGAGGAAAAAGATTCGAATGATTGCCTAAAAAGTTAGAGATCAAGACAACTTTACAAGACCATGACAATAGTAATCCTTTATGCCTATAAATTTTAATCTTATTTTCATCATTTTATAGGCAAGAATACAATCTTGAAATATTTTTAAACTAAAACAATTCATTCATACATTCTTCATTTTATAGAAGCTCTTCCTGAAGCTGTGGAAACATCCTGCGGGAAATGCACAGAAAAACAGAAAAGTAACGTAAGAAAAGTAATTAAGGCCATCCAACAGAAATTCCCTAAACAATGGGAAGAGCTGGTGGCCAAAAATGACCCTACTGGTAAGCACCGTGCAGATTTCGAAAAGTTCATTCAGGGCAGTTAACTTATTTTACCTTAGTACACTACTTTACTATAATACTTTAGCTTATAAGTCATATATTTAGTTAGATACATAAGAACGTTTAAACCACTCGATGTTTAAATAAAGTAACCAGTTCATTTGTTAGAATACTCAAATTGTACGCCATGCCATGCAGACTCATGTATATGCACGTTATAATACGTTGCTATGATGCAATTATTATTATGCGTGAAAAAAACATTAAACGAAGTTTAAAAAAAACTAATAAATAATAAAACATCACATTTTTTTAACAATTAATGACAAAAACTGTTATTTATTTTAATGTTAAACTGTTAGACTGAAAATAAATAAATGCGAAAATTAATTAAGTTTGTTTCAATATGCTACGTCGATTAGGGTTGAGCACATCTGATCTGTTGATTTGGGTGAACGGCTGGCATTTGGACGGTGTTAAGCAAGTGACTGGAAATGAGTCGGTTGGGTTGCATGTGTGTTTGTGTGTCAGCCCGGACAGCGAGCCGCTTGCGCCAGACCTCCTTGCAAATCCGTGACGTAACACCGACATCGATTGTATAACTGTCATATAATCCACAACTACGCAATGATTCCGGATAGTTAAGATTTTGCGACACCTCACCGATTGTGTCGCCAAACAATACATAGAGCACCTAAAAAAATTCTAATCTTGTGAATGATTCAAGATTAGAATTTTATTAATACAAAAACACTTGATTAAATTATATGATAATTATTATCGATCACGATAACTAGTTTTCACTTTCGTAATTCTTAGGTTAAAAGTTTTAATCTTTTTTACGAATTTTATTGCATTTTATTTTGATTTTAAATTCCTGACGTTCGAACACTACAACGTTCATAGTTCGTTAGGGTCTATGAAGTAATTAGGGACGGGCGTTTTATATTCTATTGTCAGAGTTGATCCGGGTTACCGTTATTTTATTTCAATCTACACTAAAAATTACCTTATCGTATCTTGAGGTCTAGTAGTGTCGGTATGTATGTTAGGATCCTGAGCTGATGATACCAGTAAACCCAAATCTTCCCTTTGTATGTTTTTTTATTTCATTGGCCTCGTGAACAATCCCTAGAGAAATTGGTGTTCTCTTGCGAGCATTTCAGGTTTGTCGATTCTAATATAATGGTTGGGACATAAACATGATCACAAACTGCAGATTCCTTCAACCGTCGGTGCTTCACGTCAACTATGAGTTCTTTACTCTGGTCTTTATGGATCTTTTGGTTTGTCCTATACAAAAGATAGTATATGTCTTGTACAGTCTTGTACACTTTTGGATCAACTGTCATGTACAATCTCACTTGGCAAAATTTTAATATCTGTCAATTGAGAATCTTCTTTGGCAGCATGAAAATGTCTTAATTAGTGTAGGTGGTTAATCTCAAAATGCTATGAATCAAATGAAAGGTTTCTCATTTTATTGGATCTCAATAAAATATTGAGCTAGTCTGTCAGCTGTTGACTCATCTGGCTAAACATTGAGTTTTTGAATTTGAAGTAACCCATACAACTTAATATTAAAGGTTAAGAACCTGTCGATGTGATACCTTGGTAATTATATTTCTAACTTTACAGCACTTGACTAACGGCGTAACGGTACCCTGGTATACTGCAAGTTTCCGCAAATAAGCACCCGACTACAAAAACTGACGAATGGTACTCGTCATTGATCACTGTCTTGCCAGATCAATACACCGTCTTCAAAAATAATTATACCAGAAATCGCTTAGCGGGTCAGCTCTTTCTATGGTATTAAACTGTTAAGAAATAATTTAGGTTTAAATCTGTCTGGGTTTTAAATCAAATTATTATCTATACGAAATCATCAAACTTTTCTACGCTGAAGCGTATAATACTTTTTATGGCATAAGCAAATAAGACAAGGCAAACTTTTAAGGTATTTAGATATTTTTCTTTTGTAATCAACTTTAATTTTCTTGAAAATAAGTGAATGAAATTAGTTAGTAAACTGTAAGTGCGCCCATATTTTTATAGGAAAACCGGCAGAAGCGCTTTTCAATATAAATAAATATGTAAAAACATTGGTTGCATTTTGACAAAAATTCGGAAGGTTGTTTGGTTGAAGGGACGTAGAAATCACGCAGTCGGATCCCATACTATCCTTACATCAACATGAATCAAATCAATCAACATAAAAACAATACTTTTAATAAATCAATATTTTATATTTTGCAATGTTCCATATTGTGCAACAAAATTAAACCTTATAAATTTCTCCGCAGGTCGTTAGCGGGGGCATATCGCCAACAACTTTCGAAGTTTTAATTATGTGGGTAATGATCATTAACTGCTTCAATGAAATGTACGTCACCTTGTGCTTCTAAAGCGTTGGCGTCTATTCCTCAGCAACAAAAGCTGCGAAGTCGGCCTCGTATTCGCGTTTTGGGTCGTATTTTTCTTGAAATGCAATGGCATCTTTGGGTTTCTTCTCGAAAAGCGCTTTGACGATTTTCCTTACGTTTTTCTTTTGCAAATCGGAACATTTTGCGCAGGCCTCTTTTATTACTTCAGGCAAGAGTTCTGAAAGGGTGAACGTGTTATTTATATATTATAAAGGCTTGATTGAAGACCTTCGTGAAGTAGAATCGTTACTCTTTCATGATTTGCCTGGTGGTCATCAGGCTTTATCTTATGAGCCGTGATAGTTAGACATTTGAAATTTTCGAAGATGGTGTATTATTGTTGTAAAAAAATATAAAATAAATCAAAAAATGATGGGGCCCCCTCCCATACAACAAACGTGGGGTGGCTGATAGGCTATTGGTAATTGCCAATTAGTTTATTATATCAAGGATCGGGGATCTCCGGTGCCAGCACCGATAAATTGTTAATTTTTAATGCTGACTTATCACGTGCTCGGCAGTGAAGGAATACATCGTGAAACCTGCATGTTTTCGAAATCATAACAAAAAAAAAATATTTCGAAAATATGTGAAGTCCGCCAATCCGCAGTGAGGTTCGTTTGGGCCGCGTGGTGGCCTGATATCCTCTGTACAGAGGAGGCCTTTGCCCAGCAGTGAGAAATTTATAGGCTGTTACTTTACTTTTTACTTTAGATAATGGTACGGAAACATTCGTGCGCGAGTCCGAGTCGTACTTGGTTAACAATGCATCTGCAACTAGCCAGGTGTAGTAGATGTTCATGGGCGGCGGTGATCACTTAACACCAGGTTGTTCGCCTGCCCGTTGCCAACTTTTAAAATAAAAAAAAATGTATTTACCAAGTTCACATAAAGCATCTTAACAAACACATTATTAGATGACGATTAATATTTTTTAATGTTTTAAAGTCGTCATCTTTTAAGCATGTAGCGTTTATTGTACACGTTATTATAGTACGCAGAAGTCTTTATTTAATCTACAGATTTTCAATATTATTTAAAAAAAAGTACAAATAGAAACATTTCATGAGATCGTGCCTGATTATTTAACATTTGTTCTTTACTTGTCCAGCATACACGTTTAACGTTTTACACGTAAATTAGACTTAGGCAGATAACCCTTCATAGCATTTCGTTAGCCTTAAAAGTTTTATATTTAAAAATGACCCCAGAATAAAACTTTTTACATGACGTATTCGTTTGACGGTGACACTCTGATTTCGGAATCAACAATTTGCGCTTTGAACAATTGACAACGTATCCAGCTTTTTAAATTAGTTCAGGCAACCTGAACCATTAAAATTAATTATACGAAAAGCAAAAACAAATGTAATGATATCATTAAATTAAAAAAGGAATATGATTAAAGGCTATATGTAATGGACATTTTTCCAGTTTCTAAATCTAATGCCCAATTTGCCACACGAAAACTTGTTCATTCAAACACAAACATTAAAGATTAAGAGAATCAAACACAATTTCTTGATATCGTAAGTCTCCTTACCCTTACCTAACCCTAGCTATAAATTATGTCAAAATAATGCAGTTCAAGTCATCTGTTCCTATCCCTTTATTTTATACTTTCATCTTGAATTTTAATTTTATCGTACTGATGTTGATTTCGAAATGAACATGGGTGGTTACTGTCAAAAATAAAATACTGATATGTAATTGTGTTTTTATTGCTCACTTACCCTTGAATTCGGTGGAATATTCAGCTGTGCAGGGTTTCTTATCAAGGAAGCAATCAATGTAGGAAGTAAACAATGCGTCATCTGCAAGGATCTTTCCGGCGTCCACCTTGTCGTACGCTGCATCGTAGCACAATATCGCGGGTATTAGTGCCAAAAATATAAAATTAAAACGGTCCATTATTCAAAACCAACCTGCAAACAGAGAAAGAAAAATTAAGATCATAATTTCTTTAATTCGTAAGTTACTTATTGTAAATAGATTGGATCATTAGGAGTATTACACAGTTTAAAAGATGTTCAATTTTATAAATGACGTTTAGGTGTTTTACGTTCACGAATGTATAAATTACAAATACAATTTACCAATAATGTTCACGAAATGTTTACTACTACTTGTATATTTTGATCACAATACAAATTTAAACATCGAAATTTAAAGGTATTCCACAAAAGAGGAAAAGGCCAATCATTTGTAATCAAATGAGTAATTTAACAAATTAATTTGCTTCCACCGATTACGGTGCAATTTTCATTTATATATTCTTTTATCTGATCTAAAAAATGTACTGGATGTAAGTGACCTCCATTAAGTGTATTATACTGTGTACTTAGATCAAAAGATTTGAAATTTCACTAAAATAAACGTGTAATCATTACCATAAGTTAATGACCAATGTTTTTTACATCGTTTGTCAAGTCCAGAAGTAGATAACATCAATGTAATAATGTTTTGCACGGTGGATTACTAGAAAAGTCATACATTTGTTTTTCTTACTGTTAAGGTGAATGATTCTAATGAAGAAATTCGATACATTTTAAAATTAAATACTAAAAGGTAAAAATGCAACGCAAGCCGCAAAAAAAATTTGTGATGTTTATGGACCTAGTGGTAGTGTCTGTGAGAGTAGCACAAATTTGGTTTAAGCGTTTTCAATCCGGAAATTTTGATATCAAAGATGCACCTCGCTCTGGGCGCCTTCTTACGGATAAAATGGATGCCATTTTTGTAAAAGTGGAGCAAGATCGATATATCAGTAGTTACGATGTAGCTGAAGAACTGGGAATTGACCACAAAACAGTTTTGGCGCATTTGAAAAAAGCTGAGTACACAAAGAACCTCGATATTTCGGTGCCTCATGAGCTCACTGACATAAACCGAATAAACCGTATACTCATTTGTGATTTTTTATTACGACATAATGAAACCAAACCATTTTTGAAAAACCTGATAACTATGATGATGATGAAAAGTGGATCACAAACGACAAGAACATGCGAAAACGGTCTTGGTCAAAAGCTTGACACACTTCACAGACTCTGGCGAAACCCGGATTATCTCGCAATAAGGCAATGCTGTGGGTATGATGGAATTGGAAGGGCATTATTCATTACGAGCTGTTACCGCCAGACAAGACCATTGATTGTGAACTCTACTGCGAACAACTGATGAGATTAAAGTAAGAAGTTGAGAGAAAGCGGCCGGAATGGATCAACAGAAGGGGTGTGATTTTTCATCATGATAACGCTAGAACTCACACATCTTTAGTCACTCAGCAAAAATTAAGAGAGTTTGGCTAGGAGGTGGTAATGGATCCGCCGTATAGGCCTGACCTTGCAACTTCAGATTTCTACTTGTTTCGGTCTCTTCGGATTCTTTAGGTGTACTTTCAATTCTCCATGTGATAAGTGCAATGTTAAAACACAGAATCTCTACATAGTTCCGTTTAACGATTTAAAAATCATCTCATTCATCGTCAAAGTCATTAAATAGGTCCATTTTTAATATTTTTACATTTCACAACAAACAAACACGAAGTCCTTCTACAGAATGATCTTATAAGTAATAAAAAACCTTTCCAAGTGTAGAAAAGTGTAAGACAGGGTGATGTCATATCTCCGAAACTCTTCACTACTGCATCTGAAGATGCTTTCAAGATTCTAAACTGGAGAGGACGTGATATTAACGTAAATAGCCAATACATCACCCATCATGTCCATGTCACGCCTATACCGGTTGTCGAGCACAGTGCTCGAATTTCAAGCACAATGCGTTGACGAGTATGTTTAACTAGGACATTTACTCCGGTTACGGTCCAACTTTAACGCAGAGGTAATCGATGAATCCGACTCGCGTTTGGTTAGCTTCGGCATATTTCACGTCCAATATCCCTCAATTTTTGAAGACCTATGTGAAAAGACACAGATTGATTGATTATTAATGTTTGTTCGCAGTGACGGCTTACGGAACTAAGTTGTGGTCCACTGATGGCCGTATGAGGAAGCTCAAAGTCGCTCAGTGAGCTATGGAGCGGGTTATCCTCGTATTTCTTGCACGATAGAGTCCGCATTGAAGATATCTGTAGTAGAAAAAAGACAGACACAACATAGCTCAGAGGATTAATAAGCTGAAGTGCAATGGGCCGGCCATATCTCGACAGATCGGTAACCGATGGACTGAACCGACGGCCACTAGATAGAGTGACGTCATGTGCGTGGGAAGTCGATGGATGCATGCAGGTGGCTCAAGATCGAACAAAACGGTAGAAAAAATGATGATGATCATGATCACAGATATTTTACATTATCATCTCCAATCCCTTTACGAATCTTAATGCCACAATTTACACTATATATGGTTAATTTCAGTTAATAAGCAAAATACTACTACATATTTTATTAGTATGGGTTTTATTATTTAATCAATATACGGTTCCTGATATAAAAGTCACTTGTTATAAAGGTTTTTTCTGCACCGCTTTAGTTTTGTTGTTATGGATATTTTTATTGATCTTATATTCAAAGTATATAACTTGACCAAGGTTAAGAAATTCAGGCCATTTTAAATGACATATTAAGCAGGTATGACGCTACATGTATTTGAAAGAAATAGGTAAAATATAGATTCTAGAAAACATCAAGCGAGTAGAAGGAAAACCTTCAAGTAATAATTATCTCATCCTCATCCTTCGTTAGAGACGTGACAGATTTTAATACATTTCAAGTGTGGCTTGATTGATATTAGCATTCTTTGGTCATACATAGGAAGGATGACAAACATATGGAGCTTATTTGTTTACTGATTGAATTTAACAATGTCAGAAAAAGTAAAAAAACTATTTAGAACTATGCAGTACGAGATATATCGTCATAGTCACCCGGGCCTTTAAAATCAAAATCAAAATCAAAAATATATTTATTGAAATAGACGCTTGCGCGCTCTTATGAATCGTCAAATTTTACATCAAAGCTTATGTATATAGGTTCGTAAGGTACCATCGGAATCGGAAAGCAGTTTCTGTTGAGAAGAGACCGGCAAGAAACTCAACAGTTGCTCTTTTTCAAAAATATCAGGGTACAATATAATATACAGGTATAATAGTCTTATTCTAGCCAACGTGAGTATCAACAGTATTAACTCCACACATTGGCGTCGTCGAAATATTCCAAAATGGTATAATATGCTTTAATCATTAGTTGATTTTTAATTTTACATTTAAATTGTTCAAGCGGCAGACTTAATATCGACTGTGGGATTTTATTATACATGCGCGTTTATTACACTTTGCCCCATGAACGACCTATTTACTTTTTGCAGACGAAACAATGGTGTAATACTAATAATGGACTCCACTGGAGCTTTGAATCTACTGTAATTCCCAGAAATACAGCAGACTCAACTGGATTAATGGGTACGTTATTTAATATTAAACTAAAAATTTTTCCTTCCTATACTGGGAAGGGTAAAAAGAATACATCTGGTTTTTTTGGCATTTAATACCATATTATTAATAGTAAACCAGCGGAGGATATGTGAAAGTGCACTATTCACGTCGGCATAATTTAATACGATTCGGTCAACTTTAAAAATTAGCGATGTATCGTCAGCAAACAGTACAACATCACACAACCCACTGGCATAAAAGGGGAGATCATTAATATATACTAAAAATAATAATCGGCCCAAGATTGATCCTTGTGGGACACCCATTTTCATTGGGGACCCAGCGGAATTAACATCATTTATAGATACTTTTTGAATTCTATTACTAAGGTAAGAGGCAATGAGATTGAGGGCGATGCCACAAATGCCATAATATTCTAGCTTTTGAAGGAGAGTTTTATGGTCTACGCAGGCTTTTGAAAGGTCACAAAAGACACCTATTGCATCTTGTGACCTTTTCCAGTCGTTATAAATATGTTTGACAAGTGCGACGCCTGCATCTGTTGTCGATCTGCCTTTAGTGAATCCATATTGCTCATCGTGAAAGATTTTGTTCACATTAAAATGAACTAAAAGTTGATTTAATATTAGCTTTTCAAAAACTTTACTAAGAGATGGCAATATGGAAATAGGTCTATAGTTGCCTGGATCATTTTTATCACCACTTTTGTAGACAGGTATTATCTTATTAAATTTCATAAGATCTGGAAATATTCCAGAATCTATGCAGTTGTTAAAAATAGAAGCCATATGTGATGCAATATATGGCATTATTGTGCTCATTAATTTTATGGACATACCCCATAAATCCTCTGTATTTTTAAGATTAATAGAATTCAAAACTTTTATAATATCATAAGTATCTACGTGATTAAATTTAAATGTGTATAGACAAAAGGTAACATTATTTCTTAATACATTAATTGCGTCTACGGGAGATGATTTTAATGTACGTGTGACATTAACCGCAATTTCTGAAAAATAGCTTTCGAAACTACTCGCAATTTCGTTATCTGATATTATGGGAGTATTACCTATAACTAGTTTTATAGGTTCCCCGAATACCTTGGTTCTTCCAGATATACGGGTAATGATGTCCCATGTGGCTTTAGTTCTGTTGTTGGAATTTATTATGCTATTTCTTATATAAATAGATTTTGCCTGAACACAGACTTTTTTAAATATTTTTGAAAACGTTTGTACCCGTTTATGGAAGTTAGGATCGTGATTCCACTGCCTCATACTATATAATTCATACAATGAATCCCTACTTTTATATATACCCACTGTTGCCCAGATAATTCAATAGAACGTTCCACAGAGTGTGCCACTATATCCTGTCGTTTTTTACAGAATATATCAGTTCTAACTAACACAAGAGAGCCACCGGGAATAGCATTTACTCTTACGAACGAACTTAACAATTTATAATTTTCTATATTAACAATATTACAGTGCTTATGTAACCATGTCTCTGTGAAGCAGATGACATGAATATTAAATTTCCTAAGGAACAATTCAATTTCGGGTTCTTTGTCGCCTAAGCCTTGTATATTTTGATGCACAATATTTAATTTAAGTGGCCGCGTTGTCTCAATGTTTAGTTTAAACTAACATTGTTTGCTGAAAGATTATTACATAATAAAATATTCTTAGTTGTACTATGTACAACTGGGGTACTTTCCAACTGTACTTTCCAAATTATTATGTTACCCAATGATAACACGATAGTATATATAACTATTACACAATAGTATATGCTATAGCATATACTATTGTGTAATAGCATATGTTGTGTATAGTATACACAACATGATATACATTGTTTATATCGCATTGTTTGTGTATACACTGTATACACAAACAATGCGATACACAAGTAAATAAATGCTTGTATGTTCTGTCGTGTTTAATATGCTATCATCATTATTCATCAAAATTTTATAAAATAGATACACCTTTAATCACTTTGTTGCAGTTTATTTAAAGAATAGTAATATAGGATGCAGAATAACTTGGTGAGAAAATTTAGTATTGAAATAATGATGGCGGCTTCAGATTCTGCTTGAATCGATTGGAACTTGATTACTGCGGAAGTTTCTGCAATCTGTTTCCACTCTCACGTGATGAGCACATAAGGAAAGTGCACAAAATTTATTTAATATGCCCAGACAATTAAAATTCCCATACCCATTAAATGGTTCTTTAGTTAATTATCGTAGTATTGACAATCAAAAGGCCTAAATTTACATATTGTGTTGTATTTGAATGATCTTTGTTAAAGACTCGCAATTTATAAGGCTCAGTGTATGTAAAAATTTGCACCTTTTTATTTTTGTCGTATATAATTTAGACATAATTTTTGCTATTCCTGCATCATTTAGATAATAATTAACAATGATGACCTTGTTAAGATAATAATTTTGCATCAAGGGAATGATTTATTTTACAACTGCATTTTTCAGGTGAACCTAGCGGTTTTTACTCTATTTTATCGTTACATTTAATTCCATTAAGTGAAACCGAATGAGTGAAACAAAATAAACAACAAAAGACTAACTTACAATAAGCAATATTTTGAAATTTAACTACTAAGATTTTTTGTAGGCGCTTAATGTAAACGCATATAACTTACGTAATAATTACAGTTTACGAAATCGACAATAAATCAATAGTTTTAGTAAAAAATACTGAATAACTATTAAGTTATACGTTTTTAAATACTATTTATTGTCATTCCGCAAAATTTCAATAGTCCGCAAAACAGTTTATGTACGTTATATGTACATAAATGACCGTTTTTAAGACGTAAACATTGCACGTTTATTTTCTTAGGCGCTTACTATGTTGTGTGAAATAAAAACACGAAAAATTTCCCTTAATTATATAGAATACTAGCTGTGCCCGCGACTTCGTTCGCGTGGAATTTAAAATAAAAAAATCTAAAATAAAAGTAGCCTTAGTTACTCTTTATTAGATCAGCTATCTGTCAGTGAAAGTTCCGTCTAAATCGGTCCAGCCGTTTCAGAGATTAACCGGAGCAAACAGACAGACAGACAGACAAAAATCGTAAAAAATGTTATTTTGGTATATGTACCATATATGCATTTAGTAGAACGGTTTTTTTAATATTACAAACAGACACTCCAATTGACGCGAAGACGAGAATTTTATACATACATGAAGTTCTATTATTCAGTCAAAAACTTTTTTGTTCTCATCCCAATATGTATACTTTCATGTTTAAGTTGCAATAACATTTATAACATAACCTCACTACCACCTATCACTTAGGGGTATTATACTACATACTATATACTACATAATTATATATATAAAAAAAAATATAAATAAAATAATATAAATAAAACAAACTTAACGAATCGAGAAAAAAATAACTTAATTACATTTAAAAAAAAAACAAGTCTTCAAATTATGAGGTGACCTCCGCGTCATAGCACATTTACGAAATAAGGGTTCAAGTTCTTATTCAAAGTGCATATCGACGCCATAAACATATTATTTCGTAGATATTTTTGGCCAAACATGAAAAAGCTCAACAAGTTAATTATAACTAAAAAGAAAACAAATCGATTATTGTTATAACATGCATTATTAATAAAAGTCCTGTACATGATAACCCATAGGTATACTTCCTCGCGAAAATATCATGGCGTTAATATGTGCTTTTGATATTTTTATTGACATTGATATAATATGAACACCTATAAGTTCGTAAACGTTGTTGATGTTACGTGCCATAAGTGCCGCGTTGGTGCCACCACGGAACTCATATTCAATAATTACATGAATTTTAAAGTATCCATTATGACGAAAAATGTTCAAAAGTGATGAAAATACAAAGCTAGTCAATTAACAAAACTGTCTTTTTATACAATAATTAATTTTAAAATACCCACTACTCAAGATCGGCAATATCATAGGTAAAAGCTTATTATCAATGTGTGGCGGTTATCACTTATAATCAGGTGAACCAGCTCGCTTGTCATCTCAAATAATAAATAAAAACAAGAAAGATTAAAATTATTTTTAAATTGTTTGTACAAACTTCATAAAGTTAGGTTATAATAATTAAACTTTTTATTTTTATAAAGTAAAATAACTGTTTTCATATCCAGATTCTATGCTGCAAAATCCGGGGTGTTCCTTTCTTGTTCTGTAACATTAACGCACAGAACGATAGAGAATTTTAAAGTTAATTTATTAGTTCTTAAGTTTGAAGTAATGAAATCTGGTATTAAACTTCGAATCGAACAAACAATTATTATCTTTGCTTATTTATTATTGCAATATTCTTGCAATTTGCGTATCTACAATCGTATAACTTGTCTATAATTATAAAATACTGAATAAAACATTGTTATAAATCAAACTTTGCAAGTATATTTCCTACGTTTCTAAAAAAATGTGAATTCCAAACGAATTTATTATTCAATTACAGTTAAGATAATTATTTGTCTGTAAAACATAACCAACATTGGTACAATCATTGGAATAAAACCGTTTTTCTACCACATAAATCACCAAAGGAAAAAAATGTAAGACTGGCGGCTCCAGATCGCATTCTAGGCCTACCCAAACAGGAATGCGGAATATAGGTACCTATTGTGAATGCAAATTAAGTAACTATTATGCGTAAGATAGCTGTGTCTAAGATACCTTAAGAAGACGGGGACAATTGTACCGTTGCGGACATTGTAAAGATGACAAATATTTGTATCGTATTGTTTTAATTAAAATTTTAATTATATACGTTCTTTTAATATATAATGTTATATAAATTTATAATTACATGTCCTAAGTTATTACAAAGAAGATAATCTTTATTTAAACAAACGTAACGCATAAAAATAAATGCCATTTTTAATGGGGTGAATGACATCGTAATCAAAGGAAGTATCTCCAAAGAAAAACTTGTGCACAATAAATAGAAAAAAAAACTACAGGGTTCAGGGCGTTGACATTATGCACCGAACATGTTTTGGAAGCATAAAAATAAAACGTTAAATGAATCAAACACGAAAGTTCTCATATAATATGGATCAAAGAGGATAGGTGTTGGAATCGAAAATAAAGAACCTTATTTCACTGTTTGTAAAATTATAAGAATTTATTAGACAAATCAGCTCGTAGTAACTTCTTCCACTGCGTAATACTTTCAAATAACATTATTGACGTTGCTAAGAAAACGTTATAATCTTTTTACTAATTCATTAGTTAATAATTAATTTATCAATTACCCACGGAAAGGCACATTAATTGTGACAAAGAAACTTAAAACTTAATCATCTAATTGAATTGGCGCCAGAACAATTCAAGGCGTGTTTATTAATTCGATCATCGGCATACTTTTTTTATTTCTTTGTATGGTACGCTTTGTATGCGGCCCGTTACGTCGACCTCTTCCTCCATCGAGGACAGGTTTTAGAGAAATGTTTGCACCCCACTGTTAGGTAGCGGAGAAACAACCATACCGTCTTTGGCCGTCGAACCTGGAGGACTCGCACCGTACTTTCTTTCAAGTGAGTATAACTTGTTATTACAACTAGCGCCTAACGATTTTACGCCGTTTAGAAAGTAATGTTTTAGTATTGTGAAAGTATACACCTCGGTGACACCGCGCGTTGACCGAGATCGATGTTACTGTTACTTTGAATTCAATTATTTTGTTTATAGCTACGAGTATAGTATTCTGAGTTAGATAGATTAAATATCATCTGAAAGTACAAAATCCTGAAAGTACATAATCATTTTATCCCTAAATAATTGCTTGGATAAACCAATATATATGCGATTACTGCGTTCTGAACATTTAAAAGGATCAATGGTTACGGAACGGAAAGAAGCGTTTTGTGTACTATATACAAAACGCTGAATTATACAGGACGTTCAATATTCACAGCTTTTCTATGGATACTGCTAAAGGTTCATAACGCGAACGCCTTCAAATAAAATAATTTAATTTCCTTGATATTTTTACAAAGTAATAATTAAAGATTACTTGTTATTGAATCAAAAAATGACAACGAGTACTTCAACCGTCCCGAGGGATCAAATTAAATTTGAAACCAAATTCCGATAGAATCCCTTGAAAGCTTTTACTTCATTAACAATGATTAAATTTCGTTTTATTCTACATCACTTTGCTTGACTTAATTATAACATTTGGCAGATAAAGATGAGATTTTGGATGCTGTGCGTTTTTGCGCTGACGGTGGTGGTGTCATGCTCTGCGCAGCAACAGTTCATTAACCGCTACGACAACTTCAACGCCGACTCGATTATACAGAACGAAAGGATCCTGCTCGCTTACTACAAATGCGTCATGGAAAAGGGACCTTGCACTAAAGACGGCAAGAACTTCAAACGTGAGTTCAACTTTGAACATTAATTAATTTCTAATAACATCATATTTCATTTTATCCTTACACCAACAGCATCATAAACGTAGTAGTTATGTTGCCTTTTCTACAGGGAAAACCTATAAATATCTGTTTTACCATGTAGTACCATGAAGCCTTCACTTCTATATTATAAATATTTAATTATACAAAGAACCTCCGTGCAAACTATATCCTGACACTCTTAAAAGAAGAGAGAAAAGTCCCACAACAGATATTTGAAGTCATTATTTTATCATATGATATACAGTTAATTACGATGAAATTAATTTGTTTAGTTTATGACAGTTACTCGTATCTCACCATACTCACTTATAAGCAGTTATACATTGTAGAACCCAAAGACTACCACTATAATTGCTCTAACAACAATGTTTACTTCTTATGAACAGGGAAAATATCTAGATACTTGAAATATTGTATTTGCATTTGATTATTGTGGAACCTTTTTATTCTTTTAAAAAAATGTAAATACTTGCAACTTAATTAAACTTGCTTAAACACTTGTAATTCTTATCGGTTATTCATTAAGACAGGGCCAAGTTTGTGAATCGATGTTGGCTTTTAACATTCAAAAGTCTAAATTGCAAAAAAATAGAATGGGTGAGGAAGCTTACGGTTCTCTCTCGGTTTTTTATCATTTTTTACAACGAAAATGACGTAATTTAAAAATAAACCTGTTCCTTCAATCTCGCAAGCTACTCGTTCAAAAAAAATAAAACGTTGACTTCAAGTTTAGTAGCTAATCAATGTTCTATTTTTTTCAGGTGTACTGCCAGAAACTATATCAACTGCGTGCGGACGCTGCTCTCCAAAACAGAAAGTTGTAGTACGCAAATTGTTATTAGGAATAAGAGCAAAAAGCGAACCGCGGTTTTTCGAACTACTCGACAAATATGACCCCAGTCGATTGAACAGAGAAGCACTATATACTTTCTTGGTCACTGGTAATTAGTGCTATGATTTATGTGATTAAGATTTATGTTTACTTTTGAAACCAACGCGATGTTCACTGTCATGTTGTTTTAAATCTTTTCAATGTAAGTAAATTTATTGCATATGTGTAATAAGGCAGATAAAATTTAAAATATTAATAACGAATTATAATCTGTATCTTCCGGCTGCACATTGAATGGAGACTATTGGTATAATTTAAAATCATTAACGAAACAAAAAAAGACATTAAAGATAGTTTTAAACCTAGGACTAAGCTAATGTTTCCATGTTAAGAAGGCTGAGATTTCTAATTTTATAAAAACATGGGATCGCATTTATGAAGGTGTAATAATTAAAATTTATATTTATTGTACATAATAAGTTTAGTTATAAATTGTGATATTATAAAGATGTCATTAAAATAATTTGTCTGTTATTACATTGTAATTATAACATTACTGTATAATCGAATGCGTTTTATAACAAATCTGATCGTCAATAAGGATATCTTGTTTTATTAGAGCCACATGTTTACGATTCCTTTCTGAGAATTGAACACAAATGAGTACAGTGTAATCACTTATTTTGTTGATTGGCAAACTTAAGTCAATGTGATAAGGTTTAAAACATAATGCACTATTAACATTTAAAGGTATTGTACAGTTGGTGCTAGCTTTATATAAACGTTCGATCGATTTAGATCTAATCATTCCGTAGTTGATTGAGGGTCAAGATGAAGTTGATTGTATTGGTTGTGTGCGTAGTCGCTTTAGCATTTGCTGAAGATAAATATGAGAGCGTGGAGGATAACTTTAATTTGGAAGAATTGCTTAAAAACGACCGACTTTTGGTTGCTTACATGAAATGCTTGTTGAATAAAGGACCATGCACGCCTGAAGTGAAAAAAATAAAGGGTATGTAATGATGTTTTAATTTATATCTCTCGTAATCTAATGAACTAAAGTTTATTCCTGAATAACCAATTCACCTCATCATTACAGCGTGAAAGGCGATTTTTGGTAAACATGTATATATATATATATATTATGTTGTTAATTAAACTCATATAAGAGATAGAATATAGTTATTATTGTATACGGTTAAAGTTTCACAACTATTATTTAAATAGCCGATTGGCCAGAAAATACATGTATAAAGAACAACAGCCAACAAATACCTTCCTTCTAATGTCAGATTAAATTATTACATTCAACCTTGGCCTTAGTAAAATCAAATGCCCAATTAAATTCAATTCTCTTATGCATCTTAAGTTCTACGCTTATTGTACTTTTATGAGTATGAAGTATCAATATTTCACTTTTTAATTTGGTTTTTAGATAAACTCCCAGAAGCTCTGGAAACTAACTGCGCTAAATGCACTGCCAAACAAAAGGAGATGGGCAAGGTGCTGGCTAGGCAGGTGAAGAAAACTCACCCCGAATTTTGGGAAGAACTTAAAGCTCTCTATGATCCGCAGGGCAAATATCAAAAAGCATTCCAAGACTATCTTAAGGCTTAACTTCCGACATCTTGAAATAACATGTTAATTTTCCAGTTGATTTTTTTATTTTTAATAAAAACATTTTGGCATTATCATAATGTAATTTTTTTTGTTTTAAAATTATATACCATCCATCTCTTCGTCACTTTGATATATAACTCCAACATTTTTTATAGTTGATATAAATCTGTATATGTAACTTTTGTACCAAGTAAGTTATGAATAAGAATTAAATTTCAAAACAGCTATCAGTTTTTTATATGATCAATATAAAAATTTTAAGGTTAAATATTAAAAAAATATATATGATTAAAAAATTGTCACAAAACATTCCTAGTGTGAATTTTATTCAGTAAATATGTATAAGTGAAGAAGAGAGATTAAATAAATACTACACATTTGAAATTTTTCTTAAGGCTCTCCTGAAAGTTTCATAACAGACCCAACCTTCGGAATGATAATTTTTTGCTTCTTCCCAAATCTCCCGGAATTTTTCATCGCTAAAACTCTCTCCAGCGGCTTGAAAGACCTTTTTAATGACATCAGGCTCACGTCTCGCGTACATGTCACGATGATTAACGTGCAGCAATGTAAGAATGCTCGGAGAAATACATGACATAACGTCCGATTCTTGTGGAAGACATGCTCTATCCGCTTTACAGCAGTTCTCAGGTGTAATGGGGTAATCTAAATCAAAATATCTTCCCGATGGAACACCAGCCATTGGTGACTCATCTTTTGCTTGACCAGGCTTTACCATTTCACTATATGTTGTACGAAAATCAATACAATCCAAGAGTAAATCAGGTGAGTAGGGAATATATGTGATTGGTTCTCTGTAATTAATCATATGAACAAAAAACTTGTAATCAATTTTCTCTCCATCAAATGCTTCCCATTTTAACAACAATGGTTCAACTAATGTTGGATCAAATCTGATAAGTTTGGAAGCACACACATTATATATTATATCTTTTGGTAACCATCCTGTTTTATCTGTATCATAATACTTTATATTTAAATAAAAAGTATGAAAAAACTTAGGTAAAAATCGTTTTGACAAACATTTCCGGATTGTATTAAGGTGAGATAAGCATTTCCTAATAAACTCACGCTCAGGATTTATTTCGCAAAAGCTCAAACACTGTAGAATATTATCAGGTGCGCTTAGAATTCCAAAAGCGTGACCTTGTGGAACGTTGCTTAAATTATCGTTAGGGGCTAAAACTTTACCAAGCCTAGGCTTATTAAAGTCCTGGAAATTAGTTTGAATTGTATTCAAAACTGTGCGATTTCCATTACCAACAATTATTCTATCATCAGTTAAACAACATTTAGCGTATGTTCCCCTTTTATCAGCGTGAGTTCTATAACCATAAGTTAGTTCTGGATCAAATGCAGGCTTACAATAATTTCGATCAATTTGCGCACCAGGTCGGGTCAATTGTGATGATTTGTCTTCTACTGGCTTTGTTGGCATTATCACATCATAAAGCCTTTCTGCCTCAGGCAGTTTTCTTCCAAACGTAGTGGAATAAATATTAATTCCTTCGGGCAACATTGGCACAGGATCTTTAACACTACCAAGTTGTTTTTTCCAATAAGATGAATATGAGGTCTCTTTTAAGTCATCAACCAGAGTTTGAAATTTAGATTTTACTGGCGGATTTATTATACTTGCAACATCGCCAAAAATCCCAGCGTAACGCATGTCCTTCGGAAGAGGACGACGTAGAGGTGGAAGAGATTTCGGAGGTTTCGGGGGTATGATAGCGTCACTAATAAGTGAATCTACCTCATCTTTTAACAGATAATGCTGTAAGACATCCGAAATTCGATTATCTGCTTGAGCAGTCGGCACTCCAGCGGCACATATGTTTGGGCTTCGTTCAAAGAACATACCTTCATTTCCGTTACCCCCTGATGTTGGCTTTCGACAGTTTATAGACATTTTATAAAATTTTCTTACAATGAGATAATTATGTAAATAACTTAATAAAACTTGTACTTGTCCAATCCAATTCCAATTTTATTGTACTTGTCAAACTACTACAAGACAAAATGTGTCAAATCGTTTGTCTATGGTTTAAATAAAGTATAAATAATAAAGTAATGGGCCTCAAACTGTAACACATTTTACATTGTATTTCTCTTTAGATTACATTAGTTATCTATACGTAGTATAATTCTGATTAATAACAACAAATTTAAATTACTCTATTTAGACATAAGTAAACAAAATTAAAAATATTTTAATTTTTGTATAATTTCAATACCATTAAAATACTTACTATTTTTTTTATGTGAAAAGTTGTCAAACGATCAGACGGTTCACCTGATGGTAAGTGAATACCGCCGCCCATGGACATCTGCTACACCCGAGGGTTACGGAGGCGTTGATAACCTTTTGTAAATTGGGCTCCGGCTACCTCACTCACCAGACGAATGGCGAAAGTATTTGTCATACTTCCACTTTACGCTGGTCTTCTCTTAGGTCGTGGTACTTACCCGGACGGGCCAGTCCATTCGTGCAACAGCCGAGGCTGCTGCGTGGCCCTACCACCGTTACTTATATTGTACTAGTTACTGCCCGCGCTACGCCTGCGTAGAATAGGCTGATGAAGACATTCAAACAGAAAGACAGATATACATAAAATATGTATATGAATTATAGCCTATGTGTTATTCTGATGTAAAATCTATATTATTGTAAAGTTTCATTAAAATCCATTCAGTAGTATTTGCGTGAAAGAGTAACAAACATCCATCCATACATACAAACCTTCGCGTTTATAATATTAGTAAAAATAATCAAATACTTACATATTACAGAATGAAATATTGATTTAATTTTTAAGGCATAATTTTGAACTAACAGACTTTTCGTGGTAAATGTAATACGTGTAGGTAAATCCTAAAATAGTCGATGACGATGCAGATGTAAAACTTGCATGCTAAATACCTTTAATTGCTCAAGTACAAACTACAGTGGCACAGTGTCCAAACATAGCATTTACCGGACATGTTTGTTGTACACTCATCTAACAACTGATGACAGAACAACGCATATATGTGAGGGACAACTGCAGAATTCTTCCATTGAATTGTAAGTAGTCTAGATGGATTTTCGTTTATGAGAACTGTTTTTGTGATCAAATTCGGTGAGTTTTTTTTTAAATTAAAACAATAAACAATTATTTTTAGTGCTAAATGTATAAATATGTCTCATGCATAATTTCAGATTCAGCCAGGGTAATTTGACCGAAAATTAAAAGACTGATTTCATCCGAATTGGTGGTACCTTTGCTAGAATATTTTTTTTTTAATTTTATAATATATATTGCTAAGTATAATATTTTTCTTAATTTTTTATTAGTGGTATTGATTGACATCGAATGAATAATATCTACTCACTCTAAATTACATTTTTAGTAACATTTAAAAGACATGATACGAATACAAGCAATTATAGCAACAATTGTAGTATTAGTGGGAGCAGATTTTTACAGCTCCAGATATGACGACTTCGATGTGCAGCCTTTACTAGAAAATGACAGAATTCTTCTAAGTTACACCAAATGCTTCTTGAACCAAGGACCTTGTACACCGGATGCTAAGGACTTCAAAAGTGTGTTTTCTTTAAGCTATTATATAGTTCATAACTTGAATGTGAAAAGTTGCCAAGCGAGCAGGCGGTTCACCTGAGGTTAAGTGAATACCGCCGCCCATGGACATCTGCTACACCTGAGGGTTGCAGATGCATTGACAACCTTTTGAAAATTGGGCTCCGGCTACCCCACTCACCAAACGAAACGCGAAAGTATTATACTACTCGGACAGGCCTGCACAATCGTGCAACAGCCGAGGCTGCTGCATGGCCCTATAATAATATAATCCCTTTCCACCTTCTTAAACCTAGTTATCCATTCGGTGCTGTAGATGTCCATGGACGGAGGTTAACTCTTAATATCAGGTGAACAAGTAACTAGTGAAGAAATAATTAGAAAGAGAGATACCGTATTAAATACAAATTATTATTCATGCTATTGAATCAGAAGAAACAATTCCCGTTCATTAACAGTCTCGCGTTTTAACGCTCATTTATATGTCAAAATATGTTTCCATTACCATTGATTATATTATATTTTTCAAACACGTACCTACATTTGAAGTAGATATTTCAGAAAAATAAAAATATCTAAAACAACACGGAATCAAATACCATAGATAATTTGTGGCATATGCCACATTACTAACTGGTTCTCGAACAAAAGGACCAAATTCTAGAAAAATTATTGGAGGAAATGCGATAGCCCAACGATTAATAAATTGTCAATGTGATTAAGCGTGTTTATTATCTAATTTTATTATGGATTGTTAAGACAAAATTAATTATTATCTAACAGCCTTCATCTTTCTACCTTTTAATGAGGTTTCTATCTTGATGCTAAATATGTTGAGAAACTTCTAGATGCTTCACGAACCGTGAAGGATTTGAGGATTAACCAGTGATAGTTTGGTCACACTTTTAACACATTCACAATTCAAAAATGTATAAGACCTTGAATACGAATAACAATTTATTACGTGAACAATTACTTTCAATATTTAGATCCTTTATATAATGAAAGACTATAAATTATACTAAATAAATAACCATTACAGTGCATTACGTGCAAAGTATCACTGACGTAAGTTGGATAATCCATACTAATATTATACTACTACTTAACGGTGATAGGGCTACGCAGGAGCCTCGGCCGTTGCACGAATGGACAGGCCCGTCCGGATAAATACCACGACCACACAGAAGACCAGCGTAAAGTGGAAATATGACAAATACTTTCGCGTTTCGTCTGGTGAGTGAGGTAGCCGGAGCCCACTTTCCGAAAAGGTTCTCAAAGCATCTGTAACCCTCGGGTGTAGCAGATGTCCATGGGCGGCGGTATTCACTTTCCATCAGGTGAACCGTCTCCTCATTTGGCCACTTTTCACATAAAAAAATAAATAAATGTGAAAGTAACTCTGTCTGTCTCTCTGTCTCGCTTTCACTCCAAAAATACTGACCCGATTCAAATGAAATTTGGTACACAGATAGTCAAGAGCCTGAGAAAGGATATATGCTATTTTTTAACTGAAAAAAAGTGTTGTAAATGGTTGAAAGGCATTTATTTAAGAGCTTTAATGCGAGCGCAGCTGCGGACGAAAAGCTAGTATTATATAATTATGTAAACATTGCAAAGAAACTCTACCTCTTTATTTCAGAAGTAATACCTGAAGCATTGGAAACAAACTGTGGTAAATGCACAACCAAACAGAAGCAGTTAATAAGACAAGTTATAAAGGCGGTGATGGGCCATCATCCCGAGTCATGGGCTCAACTTGTAGACAAATACGACAAAGACAAAAAATATAGAGATGCCTTCAAAAAGTTCATAGAGGATAAAGAATAATTTTTTTTTGTTTCTAGAGAACTTAATCAATTTTATTTAAAACCAACACATAACTGTAATCATAAATTTGAAACTATTTTAATTTTAAATCTCTGCAGAACACTCTGTTCATAAGCTTGATTGTTACTTTCTACAATATGACAAACTCACGCTTGAAAGTGTTTAAAAAGTACATCAAGTGTAATCAAACACGACAATTTAGTGTAGATATGTAAAATTTTTCTTCAACTGAAAGTTAATTACTAAAAAATATTATGTGACACGCGACATGGCATTAAAATGTCCGTAAGTGACATTATATCTATATATTGCTATAATCCTAAGTGTATAAGTAATTATAATATTTTATATTTAGAATTATGCGTATTAATGTATTTGCTAAATACGATTTTTTCAATAGTTTTATACATCCTTCTTTCATCTCTAGCATTCCTAGGTTGACTGGCGGATAGTGCCTCAGTCATACAGTCCGTCTATACACAACATTAGTGCAAAAGTTAAATAAATAAATTCGTAATTGATAGCACTATTGGTTCACACACGTTCTCACATAAAAATCCGCGGAGGTTTGCGACATGGTACCATTAAGGGGCATTAGGTGACGCGTGAGTTACGTCGGCTAATTGCGCGTTGTTTATCCTATTGAAGTGTAACGTGACAGTTTCTAATACACAATAAGCCGAATAAACGAAGCCATTAGTTATCGGATTGAGTTGAATCTTTTTACAGTTGTAACGACACTACCTAGCAATGTTGTAAAGATTTCTGACAATATACCGTTCTCCATATTAGGTGTAATATTCGTATGTGTACATAATAGTCTACGGAATGGAAGAATTTCAATGAAATATTTTTGATAAAACTTATTTCAGTCCGTTAGCTACGAATTTTTAAAAATTCGATTAGCAAATCGAATTTACAAAAATTCGACAAATTAATAGAGTTGAATGTCATAAACTAAGATGAATAATTATCAATTTTTGCTAGTCTGCACTCAAGATGAATTTAAAATATGAACTAAGAGATAAATTGTTCGGACAGGCAGAAAGTATTTATACAACGTTTATAAATACACATTTCAAAAAATTTTACAGTTGTTGAGATTTTTGCGCCTGTCATTTGGTTTCTGGGTGCTTTACCCAGAAAATGCGGTTTCGAATCCTACTAAACTCAGATTTAAGATGAGTTAATGTTCTAAAAATTTACAAACTCTGTAATCGATTTTGGTAATTGATATGAATTTGAGTAGTATGTCTGTATACAAACTAGCTGCTGCCCGCGACTACGTCTGCGTAGAATAGGCTGAAGTCGTAACATTCAGACAGAAAGACAGATATACAAAAAATATGTGTATAAATTGTAGCCTGAATGATGTATAAACTATATTATTGTAAAGTTTCATTAAAATCCATTCAATAGTATTTGCGTGAAAGAGTAGCAAACATCCATCCATACATACAAACTTTCGCGTTTATTATTAGTAAAGATGTCAATGTCATTGATGTGTTCTAGAATTAGCGTTTTCCGAAGATTCCTTTACAAAGTTATTTGTATACCTTGTTATTATAATTTTAGATATGTTTAACAGGAATCTCTTATTATTAAGTGGTACGAAGGCCCAGGTTTGTTGGCGTTTTTGTTATCCACTTAGAAAACAATAAAAAACTTTCTATTTACGACTCAAATAAAATGGAACAAAAACAGATTCAAAGTCAAGTGTGAATTTTTATTTTGTTTTTTTGAAATCATAAATACACAATTTTATTAAACAATTTTTAATATGTACTGAATCCTATTCACATATATTTAAACAATTATTCCTTTCCCAATTAACTAACTGAGCGAAAACACTTATTGTTTTTCTTTGACCGCGTCAATTTTGTCCTTGTACCTTTGTTGGTAAATATTGTCAGGGTCGTATTTAGTGGACAGATCTTTCCACAGGTCAGGGCGTTTGTTAACCAAATGCTTAATAACCTTGTCGGCGCCTTCCTTCTGTTTGGCTGTGCATTTTGCACATTCGTGTTCCAGGGCGTCGGGCATAGTTTCCTTCAAGGTCTTTCCGTCGGCTGTGCAACGTCCCCTGTCCATTAAACAGTCCACGTATCCCTTCAGTAAACGTTGAGATTCTAAGATCTCATCTACGTTGATGTAATCCCATTTGTCGGTGTAAGTTGAGGCAGGTTTGGCCCAGGAGACGGCGAAAACACATAGGAGCGAAAGTAGGATGAACAGTCTCATAATTAAACTGAAAGAAAAAAAAAATAATACAAAATACACATACGTAATATGATAACAAAAAAGTAAAGCTCAGTGTCAGGGCGCTCGCCTTTAATTCAATATACTCGAGCAACCTGGGTTTGATCCCGGCGCCGGCACCAATGAAATTGGTTATTTTAAGTGCAGAATTATCGAATTTTCTAAAACATTAAAATAAAAACAATTAGATAATTATTGCTGAACTGCGAAATAATTCGTAGTTTACAACGAACTTTAGAAGTATATTTTATTTACAAAAATGTTTTATTAATTACCAAACATATTAATGATAATAAAAACTTTGAATAGAAATGATCGTGAAATAAACTTGTATCACCCAACGGTCTTTAAGCGTTTGTTACAAAATAGTAGTATACTGAAAAAAAATCTAAAAGATTGCAAAACAATGGCTAGGCAATAGCTTCATGTCCGATAGTATTTGCAGGTTGACATTTTAATTACTGATTGTCTATTGTGTTATTGTATATTGATGCTAATGATAGTATTGTTGTTTATAGTAGGAACTTTACGGATAGGTAATGTTTTCCGTTTTAAAAACCGAGAATAAAACGGGTTTTCTTGCATTATAAATTCAAGGTCTAGAACTAGGAATCAGATTGTAGATTTTTTTGTGTCTAACGCTAGCTATAATTGTTTTTCAATTGTCTACCAATTATGTGTTTTTATCAACAAAATTATAATAAATTGTGACAAGAAGGGGTTATTGAACCTTTTTAGAAGTAGTGAATGTTTATTACTCTATGTTGAGTGGTTACCGCCGCCTATTGGCAACCCCCTTGGAATTACAGACGCGTGGGCTATTTTAAAAAAGTGGGCTCCAATTGTCTCACTCAAAAGTGTAATGCGGGACGTATTTACTAGACATCTGCCTTCTGTGAAGCCTTCACCGGATAAGCCTGAGTGTGAAAACCAAATCTGTTGCGTGGCCCTTACATGGTAATGATTCTCGTCTTGGGACTATAAAACATTTCCTATATCCCGCTTTGGAAATTAATCGTAAACATAAAACTAAAATTTCTCAATGTTTAACGTAAAGTCTGGTAAAGACTTATAGCCGAAGAAATAGAGGGACATTTAAAGAAATCGCTTTACAAGAAAGAAATCTTAACACATATTGTAGACTTAAATTCTTATTAAGAATAGGTATTTTCTTTACCACCCAATAAAAAGTATCCGGGTGGATAATGTATCATTTTTAAGATAGAACGAAGTACCTATAAATATATCCTTATATGAAATTATAAATCTATTATCTCATTTAACAATTCAACGAACGAGCAATGTAATACTAGATATTAATTGTTATCATACTCGATCTATTTACCAAAAAGAGCCTTTTGAAAACTTGTGCAAAATAATAAAACTATATTCTGAAGCTTATTTATTTCTAAATAGCTTCATTTAATATGTGAATATAAATGTCCAATAATTCAAAACTATCAAGAGCTAGTTACCAAAGTTTTAAACTACCATCATGATATTAACTTTACACAAACTAAAGATTGTTATATTAATCAACCATAAAGTTTAATACTCACGTTTGATTTAATCCTTTCGTCGAAACACTTCAGTCTTTGGAAGGGCTGTGACGACCATGCCACAGTCAAGGGATATTTATACTGCATCCACTAGCTTGCATTAACTAAGTCTTGCGTCGCTCATTGATTCTTAATAATTGCATGTCCTAGAGGTCGTCAGATAACTCAACGGACAATGGTGTCGTCTACGGAAGTGCATAGGAAGTCTATTTTTCTTGAGCAATTAATTAAGTATCATCTTTGTTGATTCAAGTAAAAATAGTAATCCCATTTTACTCCAAATATTTTACAGAACAATGGAAATGTAGGCTGAAGTTCAATAACGCCGGTCAATATATCAGGAGCTGCTCTCATTTAGATCAAATTCACTAAATTGTTAATTCTAATTCCCATCTACTACTCTGCCCATTAAGCTTGCAATTGCATTAAGCTTACCTATGCAATGTTTAAATACTGATAAAAATGAAACAAATAAATAAAGCAACGGAACCAATAGTAGAGAATCTAAATTGCAGTTTAGAATTACAACCAGTGGCGGCATTCTAATAGAATTTAATGTAAATCAGGTGGAAACCAGACATCGACTTACGCAAGTCAAGTAAGTCCTACTTCAAAGCTCAGTATATGTTCAAGTTTCTCATTTAACGGATTCAAAACATATTAAATTACTGATATCAAGTTTCGTTTACAGCTTACAGTGACCGAATACCATTCACTGAATATCTTATCATTTAAACGAGCAATAGTTGTATATCATCTTGTATATATATATATATACTGAACATAGGCCTCCCCCATAGACTGCCATGAAGTACGATCCTGAGCCTCCTTCAAATATATATATATCACATATCATTTGAAAAATATGCAGGTTTCCTCACGATGTTTTCCTTCACCGCGGAGCACGTGATAAGTCAGCACTTAAAGGTAAAAACTTCATTGGTGCCGGCACGGGTCGATCGAACTCGGGTTGCTCGAATACTCGAGCAACTCGAGTTCGGAATATTTAATTAAAGGCGAGCACCCGGACACTGAGCTATCACGGCTCTCCTCTAGGTACTAGAAGTTTATTAAAGCAATTTTATTTACACGCTTCATTAGTAATAAATTTTGTTTGTTACTTTATATTTTTTTAATTTGTTTTGTGACTTTATATTTTCCAGGTTCAATAAATACTAAACAATTAATTATTAAACTTTATAATAAATTACATAAACAGAACACACGACGTGAAAAAACCATACTGAATAATTTCAAAGTGGACAAAGATCAACGCTAATCAAGTTTAAAGTTATTAGTATCGAATTAAAGAATGACGTTTAGAGTTTCCATATTTAAATGTATACATATTTTTTTGCTTTTTTTAAAAAAACGTTGCCCGGACTTTTGGATAACATTATCCTGTGTTGTAAGGACGTTCTACAAACATAAATTGCACGAGGACAAAAACCCAGATGCGAAACAACTATCGTGGGTCGCACAAATAGTCATCCCGTGTGGGAATCGACGCCCGACGCCGAAGCCATTATTACCTTACCAACTGCGCTACGGCGTCATCAAACATAAGTGTAACAAATATGATGTTTGGTTTTAGTTAAAGCAACAATGAGGTCTTTGCAGGGACCAAACGCGAGAAAAATATGGTACTAAATACTTCACCTTCAGCCCTGTATACTATATCAAAGCAAGAGCAAGCAAAGAAGAAAAATTGAAGAATTTTTGAAATTGAACATTTTCAAAGAAAAGAATTTGATATTTAGTTTTCCTTTGGCCAGGATAAGAATACTGTTCCATATATGGCTGAACCTACGCCTCACGAAGGCGATAGGCTGGTAATATTTTTTTTTATCTACGGACGAAATGGTCCGAAAAATATATCGAAAAATATTGCAAAGATATGTGAAGTCCGCCAATCCGCAGTGGGGCGACGTGGTGGACTACGCCATGATATCCTCTGTACAGAGGAGGCCTTTGCCCAGCAGTAGGACATGTATAGGCTGATGCTTTACTTTACTTTTATGTGCAATTAGAGGAGCTATCATTAATTAAAAGAAAAAAACAACAAAGGGTTTCCTTTTACCACCAAAAGGGGATTCTGCTAATATAATTATTTTCGATTGGGCCTTGTTTAGCGCACTTAAATACGTGAACAAGAAATCTTGATTTTTTTTTTCTCAAAGTTGGTCCAGACATTGATACAGAAGTTTGTGCTTATGTTTAAATAGTGCACTATACGTTATCTCAAAATGGATACTGTTTTTAATGAATTTCAGTTTTATGGTCATTTGTAAGAGAAACCGAATTTGGCAATGCAGCTGTGACTCCTCCAGCGTTTTAAGTGTCCCTGGACGGCAGTGATCACATAACATCATGACACCCATGCTCGTTTCTGGAAAAAGACGAAGAAGGGTGAATTTTTCTAATTGCCGTGGTGTTCCTTCATCTAAGCTATAACACACAATACCAATAAACTACTTAAACAATCGACCAAGTGTAGAATAACACCACCAGGAAATTGATATATGCAGTATCTGACACTTTTTCAATCAAAACTTCAGAAGCCGAGGGTAATAAGTAATCATTTAGGATAGTAGTCACAGTGGTCACCTACACAAAGACTACTAATAATCTATCCATACCGAACTCTTCCCAATAAAAAGGAGTAAAAGTGATTAAACTCTTATCATTAAATTTTCAAATATAAGTTATGGTTGACCGGACTGATTATATAAACTTTATGCTAAAAGTCGTCAAACGAGTGAATGGTTCAGCTGATGTTAAATAATCGCCGCCAACCATGGACATCTGCACCACCTGACAACATGCTGATGCGTTGCCAAATATTCAATAATAATAATTATAATTTTTAACAGCTAGAGGATTACCCTCGATTTCTCTGGAATGCCATCATCAGATCCGGGTTTCCTTAACATGGTACCACCTTTTGGATATCGACTTTGCAACCGCGAAAACACATAAAAAATAAAAAAATAAATACGGTCGAATTGAGAAACCTCCTTCTTTTTTGAAGTCGGATAAAAAGGGGGACCCGGTTACCTACTACAATAATTAAACGGAACGCAAAAGTATATACTTCCACTTCACGCCAGTCTTATGTGAGGCCGTGGTACTTACCCGGACGAGCATTCCATTCGTTCAATGGAAGCTGCTATGTGGCCCTATCATAGTTAAATTATTTCGGTACTCTCTGGCACATCTTCTGTTTTTGTACGAAAGACAGGATTATCTGCGCCTCACGGAAGACCTGCATAAGTAATTTTTTCGATTCTTTTTAATGATGTATTCACTCTTTCAAAAGTTGGCATCGCATTTGCATCCCCCCAGGTTTGGTAATAGCGATAATTACATAACGTCAACTCTCTAGACCAGAATATTCTAACAGATTCGCCAAGTGTCATTACATACACTCATTGACTGGCTATTACCACTCTTCTTAATACAAAATCTTATGATTAGTTATTGTTCTTTAAAAATTCTTAAAAGGCATTGAATAGATAGTCAAACAAAATGCCTTAAGATATTAGTTAACACCGTAAGGTTATGAACAGAAATTTTTTATCGAGCAAAAAGGAAGTCCGATCGAAGTGTTTTTATCCGTTCAATATAAAACATTATTTACATACAAGTATATCACATTTTTAAAGCAAAAGATTTAATAATTCTGTCATAATTTTCAAGCACGTGAATTATGTTACTGACCACATGTCAGATTTCTAATCATCATGGTAACTAACACTGAGAACAATTATTAATCTTTGAATACTTGTCCGGTGTGGGAATCGAACCAAAATACTAAAGTTTATACTACTAATCATACGTATAATTCTCGTAGTAAATATTTTATTTCACGGGCGCATATTGCTGTCAGCTCACTAGCAACTTATAACGTCTGCCTGAATGCGTGCTCATAATTTGAAAAAAAAAAAAACAGGTACATAAGAGACACGAGGACGGTTAGCTTACAAGACTAGTATGCAAATTTTGTTGCACTTCAAACAAAGTTATGATTCATTCGTTGCCTAGCTAAGTAAACAAATACCAATGTCAAATCTGGTGACGCTACAAATAAAATGGGATGTTTCTTTTCCAAAAGACCTTTTCTTATTGAAAATTGTCATAGATATGACCAAACCACGGCATCCAATTTTGCACAAATGGGTAGCCGTGATATATAGCAATAAGTTGTAATTTATTGAACAGTTGTGCCTAGTTTGATTAGTCAGGTAGCCAGGCCCAATGTTTTGAAGGGTGGTGAAGCTTACTCAATTGCTGACATATCTCTGTAAACATTTCGTGCACGGTCATTTGATGAAACGACGAACGGTTTAAAAACGAACACAGGACGAACGGGTCTCGGCTCTCTATCTTTATCGCTCACTCCTATATTCACAAAACGCATCAAAGCATCTGTTGCGTAGTTTTAAAGATCTAAGCATACATAGGGACAGACAGACTGCGGGAAGACTTTATTTTATACTTTGTAGTGATATGCGAAAGTTTACTACATTATTAACCACTAATGGTCCCTAGCAGAAGATTGTAGTTGCTCAGAGAATAGACAAACATTTGCTAGTGTATTGAATTGTGAAAGTGAAAACCTACACTTCTCAATGTTAAGTCTTAGTTTGTTATTGCATGATGAAATTAAACACAAACAAAGGTGAATTAAAAGAATGAATATAATAGGCGTGACAGTGTTAAATTAATAAATTTTATTGAATCCTTCCGGAACAATACTCAGGAACGGCTTTTTTGGCGCCATGACAATGGGAGGTAACCAATAATTTAAATAGCATTGTTTTAATCAGAATCACGCCGTTTATTCAGACGCAACGGACAAATTTAACAAAGGACACTTTTTCCTGAAAATGTCTTTGGTACACAAATCTAGAAGAACAACTTCAACGACACAGTGGTGTAATTAGCTACATTAAAAAAAATCTCAAAATAAATCCGGGGTGGAAAAACTTGGGTGCTTCATTCGTTAGTACCAGGCCATTTTATTAAAGATACCTATCGTCTTATGTTTAGACGTGCACAAGAGTATGACGATAATGAAAATATTCCATAGCGTCGGATTCCAACGACTAATTGCACCGCGCCGGTTTTTGTATTTTTATCGTTCCAGTTCTTTAGCAACTAATACAGTTTTTTGTTGGCCGTGCCGTAAATCAAGAGTAGGTATACATAATCAGCTGTCAACGATTGTTGAAAGTTCCTGATCTATGTACTTTTTATATAATTAAATATATATATAACACAGTCCAAGAATCAGGTTATGGCGTAAGAACCATAATATTATTTTGTAAGAAATTATATATTTTATTCCTAATACCAATTTATCAAGTGTGTAATGCAAACTTTTTTCTTCTTACTTTAAAACTATGAAGTAAGTCTTGAAGCCACGTTACCTATGCTATGTATGATCCGAATTGAACTTATATAAGATTCTCGACCCTATTTTTGCGTTTCTTACATGAGAAGACTATATTTTATATAATGTACTTTCAGTTTTAACATTCTCTTTAAAATCATTTTAATGCTCTCTTAACATGTTTTGATTGCAGATCTTTTTGATATGGTGCTTGTCCTTAACGCTAAAATGACTGTACATTTTTGAGTGTAATTTTCACTAGAGATTTAGTTAATAGCTAAATTAGCGCTCATTTACTATGTTTAAAATTATATAATATACTAAATGTAGTGTAATGTAGTAACATTGTAATATGAACTAAAGCTGACCTCCTTATCTATCAAAAAACCCAGGTGGCAAGTAAAAGGCAAGGTTCGCTGATTTTTGCATTCAAGAGTCGCATGTCGATGAACAATGTTGTATAATGAACTATTGTGAATACGAAGCTACGCCGGAAGAATGCTAGGCCGTCAATGTTTTATTAAGTATAAATGAGTTGCGAAAAATCTTATTGTTTCACTGTTTCAAAGATACAGGCAATTAAAGATTACTTACTCACTTTTAAACAATAACGAGTCATAGTATATTAAGTATTTTATTTCCTATTCGTAACCCCTAATTAACAACGTCATATCCAAAGTTAAAACTTATTAATATTTTTCGACCGTTATATAACAGTTTAAGCCTCGGCGATTTAGTTGAAAGTTATGGTTCCAAGACATTTCCAAACGGGATTGCGGGAACAGAGTGCAGCGTCGGTATTCCAAACTATACACTTTATTTTCAAATTGAAATACTTGTACATAATGAATTACTTAATATCACGTGAAACTCCTGCTCGTTTGCCCTTTTTCCTCATAAAACAAATATGTGTGTTGGTCCTCTCTACATCGCACAAGTCCTCCACGTGCACTTCTTGACCTCTTTCTCACTTTCACTTTTCTCTTTCCTTTTCTACGCTTACTTCTTCTTATTACCATCTTGAATTTCACTAATTAACCGCTGTACCATGCGCGCAATTACGGGCCTATAAAAAGGGTCCCACTCTTTCTAAATTTTCAATTTTGAAAGAGATATGTCAAATGAATGATGTGCAAGAAAAGTGGAGACCTTAGAACTACAAAAGAAAGTCTCCACTAATAAAATAATAAATGGTTTATGCCATTTATTATTTCATTATATTTACTAAGATGTACGACGTAAATAAATAATTAACAATCTACTTGGGCATTCGCTTGTTGGCCGCCACCATAAAAATAAAGGTGTAAAATATTGTTTGATAAAAAAATGACGGATATATAATCCATTCAAATTGTACCTGTTTTATTTTAACAAATGTAGATTTCTTATAAATAAACGTATATACCGACGTTGTATATGAAAACATTGAACGACTAAAACTTTGAAACAATATTTCATCTGCGTCTTATTAGATTCTGCTGCGTGGTCCTACCACAGTTGTATAATTTGTAAAAAATTATTTTAAAGAGTGTTTGCGGTAAATAAACCGCATTTGATAAAGCCAAGCATTGCTATAAAAACCATAAAAACGCGCCAAAATTTTGAGACAGTTTTATCTACACATTTTCAAGTTTGATCATAAGTGCAGAGATCTGCGCTATATTAAGATTATATTGAGATGTTCAAAGGGCATTGTCCACTTTGTATGGGGGTTTAGGCTTGGAATGAACAGTCACTGAGAATAACAACGATGTGTAGAATTAGTAGATTTATTCAGAAGGAATTAGAAAAATAATAAAGTTTTGTGTCCAGGTGTTTCTTAATTTTTTTAATAAACATAAACAGGGCTTTGAAATATAATATTGAATTAAGTTTTCCTATTTTTTTATTAATCAGATTCATAAGTTAATAAAATGTTATCTAAGAACTGGGCAGGTATATATGGATTTACAGACTCTTGGTACCTTGCCTAGCTCAAACCAAATAATAGTCATTATATGGGCACAGCAACCCACTGTCCGACGACCCACCATGCAGTTGCAAAAATATTGTTTTATACTACCTGTCTGTTATATTATTTTCATATAAGATATAATATAATATATTTTTCTGCTGATACACGACAACATACATTCACATTTCACAACACCTACGAATAAAGCAAATGATATTTGTCAAAATAACAGTCACAACTCAAAAGTATTGCCTAATGTTGCCATAAAAATCGTAATTCGAAATCAATGAACAATTTTTTCTTCTATGATTCTGGCATTTTGTTATCCTTTGTGCCAATGACAAGTAAAATAATGAACACTGGCAATTTAAGTTGATAAAAATAAAACAATATTAACTTTAATTCCTTATAAATATATATGTATAAAAATGCAGTGCCACATGATTTCGTGACTTATGCACTTTCGATTAATTATTTTTAACACAAATAAAATCGAAGTTAATAAATGAGAATAATAATATTATTTTATAATATTTTATAATACTCATTATTGGATGTTTTTATCAGTTTGAATCGATACAACCGAAAAATACAAATATTCATGTTTTATTCAGGGAGATTTTTTGGTATAATTGTTTTTATCTAAGAATTCTATTCACGCGAAGCCAAAAATGGACAATGTCCTTTATTGTTTAAAATCGATTTTATGTTATTCTATACCGAAGCATTAAACTAATATCAGCATAGAATACAACCATAATTATTATAAATTTATTTCTAATGAGTAAATAACATCTTCCCTTACTTTTATAAATCGTCAATTCAATAAGACTTTAAAAAAAAAAGCAAATAACCTCTTTCACAATACGTGGTCTCAGAGTTTATATCAATTAAGTTGAATACTTCACAAAACCAGCCATTAAGCAATTAAGAATCAAATTGAAGGTTAAATAGCCAAGAAAGTGACTCACCAAATGAATGTCGGTTTTCTTACTTGTATAATAAATCCTTGACTACACTCACACAATGTAATATAATGTTTTGTATAGAGCGTGAGACGTCTTAAAAAAGATAGGTATCTCCCAGACCGTACCGCAAAAGTATATATTTTAACATTATGTTCGATTTTAAGTTTTTTAATTAAAAAATATATGATATGAACAAAATCTTGGCCATCGGTCATGTCATCAGTCTCGGTGCATCGAACACAGAGCTCATGCGATATCAAGGTAAAAAAGGATCGGACCCCTAATCAAGGCGACAGTTACGCTCAAAGACGCAAGTAGAGCGATAACAAGCCTCCTGTGTCATATCTCTGCGACCCTTGATCTCCTTCTTCGTTGCGTGTCAATGACAAGTTAGATCTTTCCAGCCCAGAACTTAACCACTTCAACTGCACAATCTATGCCCAGGCGGAAGAATCTCGGAAAGCGGGATACAAGTGTCCAGAAGCAGCATCATGCATGCATTCTGCATCTCGCTTGATGTATCGAAGTAGAAGGTTAAAATAACGAGCGACCAACGCTTAATTCTTCCAAACTCTGACGACTTATTAGACTGCAGACGAGAGGGCTTTCGAACGTTGTTGAACGGAATTTAACCGGGGCTGCCTTTGACGCTTCCAAACACAGGTTAAAGATCGAATATCGGTACACAATATTGATCGAAATTTAACCGGAGCTGCCTTAGACGCATCCAAACAGAGGTTAAAGATCGAATATCGGTACACAGAAAGATCGCGTGGGACGGCCTGCTGGAACGACCGTCTTCCCATCCATACCGCTACCCATTGCAAACTGACTACTGGTAGATGGTTCGAAATATTAAAGCAGGGCCCCGTTAGACTCTAATGTTGTTATTTAGATCTAGGAAATAGAAAACTCACTCACCTTCGTTGACCTTAAAAAACCCGAATGCCTGCGATACAATGTACACCATCTCATGGTCTACATAGTAGTACTTAAACAAATTACAAAGGGCCAGAAAAGAAACTTCTCGAAATTATTTTAAATATTCGTATTTTATATATTATATACAAGTAAATGCAACTTCTTCCACCAGCCAGATAGCGCGAATGCTAACCGAAATGCTAAAAAAAACAGCTTACCTTTGTTTTCGTGATGTTTCGTTGAACAGAGCAAGGACACCAAAGAAAAGGATGCACTATCAAAATAAACGTTAGAAAATCGTCCCAAAAATGTTACTTTAGTATATAAACCGAAAAAATAGAACTGGCGGTTCACATTATGTTCTGATACCCGCCGCCCATGGCCATTTGCAATACCCGTAGGTTTGCAGATGCGTTGCCAGCTTTTATTAAAGTAGGTTTCGGTCAGCAACGCACCCAAGGCCCATTCGTGCAACAGCGCAGACAGTTTCGTGACGCTACCGCAGTAAAATAAAATACATGTGTATCTCATTCTTAAGTCGCAATTAAAATTTCCACAGTATGAAAACTGTGGAGATTCACGAAGAACTGACCATATATGGCGGCAACAAAACGTCAAGGCGTTTGTTGTCCCTTTGTTTTCGCACATGTCCCTTTCTACTCTATTATTTTTATGACATGGTACTATTTAACAAGTTTATTCCGTTCTATTTAGCGCAAACCTGACACTAAAGACCGTAAAGTACATTAACTTGAAAGGACGTACAATCATGTTCCGGTCCTTAATTAAAGTAATGAGGCAATTAGGATGGATTAGTTTTAAAAAACCTCATTTTTAATGGAATTCTTATAAGGTGCGTTGTTGTCAACAAAAACATGGTTATCAATAATAATCTTGGAAATATACGTTCATTTATTTTTCATGTGAGAAGGTGGTAAATTATCGGGGGTTCACTTGATGTTAAGTGATATCCGTCCCCTATTGAAATTTGCAAAACCCGTAGGGTGGCAGATGCGTCGCTATTAATTAACAAAGAGGGCTATCTCACTCACTAGACGAAATGCAGAAGTATAACGCTTCTACTTCATCCCGGTCTTCTGTGTGGTCGTGGTACTTACCTGGAAGGACCCTTATCACTATATATATATATATATATATACATATATAATATGAATATTAGAATTTAGGTCACAAATGTTAAATTGAAACATTTATGTAAAAACATTCGAACAAATTTCTAGATAGTAAGTAGCGCTAAAATACTCTTCAAGTAAAATTAAAATTTAATATAGATATTACAAATTCATCGCCTTCGTAACGTCAGTGTAGGCAAAATTCGTTCATTTGGTAGTTTATTAATTAAGTAAATTAAGGTTTAATTGTATATATTTATATTTGAACCATGGAATAGTTTTGACGTAGATTATCTGTAATGTGCGTGATTAATTCCATTAATTTTTATTTTACTCATCACAATATTTAAACAAATAATTTAAGTACCAACTCATTAGCTATGTTATTTTCAGTGAGATTGACTTCACTCAATCAATCATAAATCCCAATTAAAATGAAGAAATAAATATTATTCTGGGTTAACACGATATATTTCTACCGCATGCAGGCTGTTTGAATCCAACTAATCCAGAGAAATGGATACGAAATCCCACCAACCGCAATAATTATGTAAAGTAAATATTGCTTGGATTTTGGTCACTACGTACCTAACGTCGACTCACGGTCACTACGTTAGGTACGTAGTGACCGTAAGTCACATACGAACTTAAAATATGTCATCTACCAAAAAGATTAACGGACATAAATATGATTTAAATTCATCACCATTAAGTTTTTACTTTAATCCGATTTAGAAAATATTTAAATTACGTAATTATTAGTTTTAAATTTTGGTTATAATTTTTGATAGTTTAAAAAAAGCAGAAGAGATTTGTTATCTCAAATGTCCCTAAAATAACTAATAAATAAATATTTATCACAATTAAGTTTTTCGTTCAGTCAGATTTAGAAAATAAAAGATATGGATACTTATCTATTATTACAACATATTTTTGAAAATAGTTATAATTTTTGATATAAAAAAATGGAACAGATTTATAGTCTTTAATATAGCTGAAACAATTAATAGTTAAATATTTATTTAAAAAACTTCAAAAAGAGATTTTTTACGACAAATAATATCAAATAAATTTGGCACTTTTATTAATTTAATTACGATTATTTTCACTTTGATTGTATCCAAATTGCCATATAATAACCTAAATACATGTTTATATCATAGCAGTCAACACTACTAGAGAAAGAATGACTCTCCTCATTAGTTAAAACACAATATGGCCTGATAAAAGTTATTGTAACACTGCTTTGATATAACTAAAATGAGAACTTAAAAAAAAAAAAAAAAAAATCTTTCTTACTATATGATTTTATTAGACCTTTTTCATTCCTTTTTAAAATAAATATCACGTTCGGTTCTTTAATTTTATAATAACTACGCACGTGTTTTGAAACATAAAGCAATGTTTCATTATTCATTTTGTTTATCATTTCAATGACGTAAACAGTGATTTCTTTGGAATTATCATTTTTTCGTGAAACGAAGTAAAACATTAAGACATGATATAAAAAATGTAATTTGTTATGCTCAGCGCAGTCTTTCAAGGCAGTAAATAAATTTACCTTTAAAAGTGGAGGATTTAGACTTTGTATTTCCCCCAAATATTTTCGACGTATATAGGTTGTTAGTTTTCATTTAGATCTGCGATAAAAATAAATACCTATTTTAGAAACAGACTTATTTGTTGATTTATTTAAAAACTAAATGCACAATAACGCACAATGGAGGACTTAACACCATTAGGTGTTCTCTAATAATCTACCGAAAAATAAACAGAGAGCATATGGAGGCGCGAAGCCAGATGAGATACTGAAAAATATGAGAATTTATAAAATCTTACATACACATAAATATACACGTCTACGTACGTAAATATTTGTATACCTACATTGTATTAGATAATTATGTCAAGAAGGGGAAATTTAATCAACTTGATGTTCAATTATGTCGATTATCTAGATAAAATTTAAATACGGCACGTTTCAAAGTCTCTTCAGTCGAAAAAATTCTGATAGAAGTGGGTAGCGAGTTCCAGAACCGTACAGCTTGGCCTTGAAAAGAGTAAGACATAAAACAGGAACAATAAGGAGAAATTTGAAGGGAGCATCGTATTCAAAGGAAAACAATTAAATGCATTCATACCCTACTGTCCTACACAATACGGAGCAATAAATAATTAAAGAAAACGTCTTGTTATTATCTTCTATCTTTATTTACTATATATCATACATTATGTATTTATTCATAGATATAATTATATTAATGTATATATTTATGTAGGGTATGCTATAAAAATATCTGTGTGCACTGAACCTCTTTCAAGGTACCTTCAATCACCTATTTTCTCACCAGGTAAGCTGGAGAAACTCGTGCATTAAGTTAAGCTTACCTTTTGTACATTATTTTCATTTTTCATTATTTTTTGTATCTTGTGTTTTATGTACATTAGAAATATAAATAAATAAATAAAATGTTGCCATCCTCCCTGGCACTTTCCTGGACGAGTCGACACACTCGTGTAAAAATAGAAGTTGAGATTTGACCACAGAAAATCGGAAGTCTTATTTCTTAAAAGTACAAAATAATTTATCATTAACGCCTCATTGATATGCCATACAGACAAATTAACCATAAATATTATTAGAGCTAAAAGATTCGAATGGAAATTTGCACATACTGTATACTTGCGCATCTTTTTGCGTCGAGCGTAAACGAGGTAATCACCAGACAAGGAGCAAATTAGACGTTTGGAACATAACGGAAACCACTATATATACTTGCGGCGTTGTTTCTGAAATCATAACACATCGGGTCGCTTTGTGAATTCATACTTTAACTTTTGAATCGGTAGAAGTTGATTACGGTAGGTCCGCGTTACAATTTGAAAATTATTTGATAAATTTTTATTAAACATTCCATAACTGATCGAGTCTATATTTAAAAAAAATAATATTTTTAGATGGTGTCCAAGGGCTTGTTCTTTTTACTCTGTACGGCAGTCGTTGTATTGGCTGACGAAGACAAGGAAACTTACACGGATAAATATGATAATATCAATATAGATGAAATATTGGAAAATGAAAGGCTTTTAGAGAAGTACGTCGAATGCCTCCTCGATAAAGGAAAGTGCACTGCGGAAGGAAAGGAACTCAAAGGTAAACAGCCAAAAGGGTAAAGTCTATGTAAGATTACATCTTTAACTTAATACATTAGTGCTCACTCAACATTTTCATCCACCTGCCCTTATCCCACCTAGGTGGGATCAGCACAGCATATAATACAGTGCTGTAAGCGGTTTTGGCTGTGTTTTTTAAGAGCCTGCCTGCCTCCTTAGGAAAGTGGGAGTGCTCACTATTAGTCGTTAAAACCTACGTTCATATATTGATGATCAAAAAAAAGCATTAAAATTCTAATGATTGACTGAATATTCTTAATTGCACACACAATTGGTAAAAAATCATTAAAATAACACGAACGTAACGTTTATACAATTGACGGCCTTATTACTTAATTTCTTCTAGGCAACTTTTGAATGGATACAATATGTAAAGACTATTTCAGGGATGTGGGTAAAATTTTACTAATTTGATAAGATAATTACATACTTTGCAATCCAATAAAATAAACTAGTACATATACAGGGAGGCTTTTCTAAGTGTATCCATTTTTTTAAATCCTAGACATAATTAATTTTAAATCACTCGTAAGTAATTACTTAAAGAATTTGATGAACAATTGACCTTTAATTAATTAATTATATTCATTTGAACTCTTATCTCAAAAAGTACGTGATTTGTACGCAACTCATTTATTTTACGCGCGATCATTCATAACTAACACGCACACGAGCTCGTTCGTGTGCGTGAACAGTAAAATTTAGGTATTTATGATTGACTACCGCGTTGTCAAAAAGTTCTGTTTTTGAGGGAATAGAATCACAGAAGAACGGCGTAAAGTGGTAGTTTAATACTTTCGCGTTTCGTCTGGTGATTGAGGTGCCCGGAGCCCAATTTTCAAAAGGTTGTCAACGCATCTGGAACCTTCGAGTATAGCAGATGTCCATGGGCAGCGGTATTCATTTAACATCAAGTGAACCGTCTGCTCGCTTGACAGTTTTTCACATAAAAAAGTTACTTTTTCTAACTCAATTTTCGTTTAGGGCAGGATTTGGCTGGGTCTCCAGAGTTCAGCCATTACTACGAGCGCTTCCGATTATCGTACAGTATCCACTATTTATCATAAGTAATGATTCGGTTTAAAATCCCTTCACTATTGTGTCGGTTGAGCAAAGTTACACAGAAATTGACGCGTGTTTGCAAGTTCGATTCACCTCAATTCATGAAGTACCCATCGTTCAAGTTTTTTTACTTTCCTGATTTGCTTCAAGTGGATTAATACTATTTTATCACTTACCCCGAAGCCTGCAGCTATCTCTAAAGTGCTTTGTGATGTATCCGTTCCACAATAGCCTTTAATTCTTCATTTTCCACTTTGGTCACCGGCCGTCCACGGGGTTGGTTCTGAAGGTTGAAATTTCCAGAACGAAAACGGTGAAAGCAAAAACGTACCGTACTTTATTTTGCGACACCAGCACCATATGCATCCTCCGAAGCTGTTTCTGCAGCACTGGTGCCACGGTAGAACCTCGTACTCGTAAATATACGGATATTTCATGTTTTCCGTTGTGCGGTAATAAGCGACGCCAAAAAAAAATAATGTGGAAGAAACAAATGAAAGACTTTTTCTAAACTCAAATGTACCAGCTAAATATTAAAATTTATTTGAATAAAAATTTATAAATTAATTTGAATTTCATTAAACAAAGAGGAGATATTTCAGATCAAAGTTGTCAGTACGACAAAATGCTAATTTTATATGTATATTCTAATATCATTGTTCTGACTTCATATCAACATTTTCTAAGAAGTTATAGATGAATAAATATATAATTCATACAAATATTGTTCCTAGCCTACATTTCAAAGTAAGGAGGCATAGATTTTATATATGTGCTTTATATGAATTTTTTATTTATTTTATTTTACCCATTTAGATATGTAATGTGCAACCTATCTATAAGTACAATAAATATATGCAAACATAAATAAAATAAACTGTATAAACATCTCTCATGGTTTTTACGTTTTTCGTAGTGCATATGACAGACGCGTTGCAGACTGGCTGTGCGAAATGTACAGAAGCGCAAAAGAAAGGAACATCTAAAACAATCAAATTCCTGACCGAGCACAAACCGGATATTTGGAATGAGCTCTGCGCAAAGTACGATCCCGAAGGCAAGTGGAGGAAGAAATACGAAGAAGAAGCAAAAGCCAATGACATCAAAATCCCGAATTAATTAATTACACGCCGTTATGTTTCTCTGAACACTTCGTGGGAATGTATTTTTGACGCATCAATAACACTTTTGCTACACTGTAACCGACCTTATGCTCTGTTTTAAATAAACTATGATCAAATTATATATTTGTATGAATTCTTTGAAAAATATAATTGCTAAACACTTGCACAAGTTATGAACTTTTGCACTCGAAACTCTCTCATTGGTTTAAAATGTCAAATTTATTTAATTATCATACGAAAAGGGATAAACTTTCAAACTTCACTAAATGTCGAATGTTTGTCAGATATTCGCATAGTTACAAAATATAATAGGCTTGCTTGATAAATCGAAAAAAAAAATCAATTATTACAATTGATTATTTATAATTCATAAAGAAGCATCAGGATTTTTATATTTCGCGTAAAATAGATCTGTTTCATTAAAATATTTTCTACCATAAAAGGAAGGCATTTTCAAACTTAAATTACAAGATGAATATGAACGTCCACTACTTTTGTATGTCGTACTTTGGTTCTGTACCTCAAACTACTTTTTTGTTAAACAATAATCATCTCATCAAACCTTACAAGGCAGGCTGAATGCCACGGAATGAATTTGAATTTTCCATTAACTATTTATCTATTTGTTTGATTTTTTTTATGAGCCGTGATAGCTTGTCCGGGCGTTGGCATGTAATTTATAATACTCTAGCAACCTGAATTTAAATCCCGTTCCCAATTGTTGTCCAATTATGCTGCTGCTATGTGAAGTCGACCAATACGCAGTGGAAGTCGCGTGGTGGACTTAGGCAGATAAGACATACACCTTTATTTGCTGTGTCTAAATCATCATCAAGGCATGCACAAAATTCTATTGCAAACCGTTTAAAAAATACATTTTCCATACTAGCAAGATTCATTCAAAAGGGATATACTGCAAATTTTAACACAAGAAAAGTTACACAACACACACACACACACACACACACACACACACACACACACACACACACACACACACACACACACGCACGCACGCACGCACGCACGCACGCACGCACGCACGCACGCACGCACGCACACATAAAAATAAAATAACCCTCTGTGCATAAGCTGCTATTGTACGTTTTAGGGTACACACCCAAATGGTAAAACGGGACCCTATTATTAAGACACCGGTCTGGCCTCTGTGACTAGGCAGTAGCTCATGATTTTTTATTTTTGGGTTTGATGAGCCACTGGTGGTCTTAGGGGCCTTTACAGTTTTGCCGGACTTGAGGTGGTTGGGCGCTCGGGGCGCCGAGCTTGAACCTCGGCGTATTATTATTACGCGTTATGGTGACTAAGCTCGATTGCTCCCGAGGGGAGCCTCGGCTCGGGACGTCACGCTATTATTATCATTACCGGTTTGGGAGGCTCTTAGAGCACTTTGGTGAACGCTCCATAGAGTGACCAGGCTCAAGGGCCCCCGAGAGGGTACCTCGGCTTGGGCTGTCACTCAATACCCGCTTAGCATTCCGATTCGAGGGTGCCCGAGAGGGTCGGACCTCGGCTCGATCGGTAGCTATTATCTGACTGGGAGAATTTCTAGATTTATCATTACTACCACTTCGTAAAGCGTTGGCGCTGGGAGAAGAAGTTGCGGAAGAAACTCCAGCAACGCTTCTATCATTAACGCGGGAAAACCTGCCAGGTACGTGGCGGAACCTAGTATATGTATGGTGTTATCTGGTGTGATGGCGTAATTGTTTTATTTTGTCGATGGCAATAGTCGTCCCAGCGTCAGAGAAATCAAATACGTATCGTGGTGCGCCATTGACGACGGAACGAACCTAGCGACAGGGGTTTGTAGGTGACGGCACCTACAACTGCCGGATTGGGATGCGTGGCGGCGGATTCGAAGTAGCGGCGCGACGCCGACTTCAGGAATTGAACGATGGTTGGCAGTTCTAAATCTACATGTAAGTCGATGTTACGCATGAACCACGCGGCTCCCGTAGCTCTGCGCAAAAGTCGATTCTGGATGACCTGAAGCCTCGGGGCAATATGCGCAAAGACCGGACTCGCGTATGTCATGATGGGGCGAACTACTACTTTCTTGGTAGATGTATTAAGTTATATAATAGAATAGGTGACATCAAAAAGAACATATCACAAAAATTCTTAATTTAAAGAGTTATCATCATCCGCCTGGCCTTATGGCCCATCTAGTTGGGGTCGGCACAACATGTAAATGATGTTGTAAGCGGTTTTGGCTATATTTTTACTTTCAAGTCAATTTAAAGAAATATAAGGACAAACAAAACAATTCAATCCCGGCTATTGTCAGGATCTGTACAACGTAACAGCAATATAATTTAATGAAAACTCTTCCTAAGATACAATTTCTGTTACATTTTTTTAAACAGGTTTTATAAAGAACTGTATTGAGAGTTCAAAACTTTGATAATCGGTTAAGGGATTCATTGCGACCTAGAACCATTCTGTGTGTGTATGTATTTAATAGAAGTGTATGATGTGTACTTCGTATGGAAAGGCTAGTCCACTAACTTGCTCGGAACAATCTAGAGTTAAGAAAATATTCCAAAAATTTCCAAACACATTTTTGTATACAACGTTCTCTATCTCTAAACCCAAACTAAGCAACGCTTGTACTATGGGTACTAGAAAACTGATAAGCATACTATTCTTTTGCAAATAAATACATATTATACATATATAAACACTCAGACACTGGAAAACACTATGTTCGTCACACAATATTTTTCCAGTAGATCGAACCCACACCCTCTGGTGCAAGACGCCTCTTGTACACCTTATGGTTCACTACGCCAATCGGGTGTGACATATCTAACTTTTACAATAGGCTTAATATAAAGTAGCTGTTTACCACGTAAGAATTTGACTAATTGTTTTTGGATTTTTGCCATTTTATCCATCTAAGTTCCATAACTGGGAAAACAAATATTGAGCCTAACTTCGGCAACGCTACTTTATTATATTACTTATTTTAACGCTGTCCTGATTATGGAAAGGAGACCATGTTTTTATTTAATTAATCTTGAGATTTAAAAAAAACACTTACAAATAATTGCATTTAAGAGAAGGTGAAAGAAAACGGTACTGTCTATGTTAGATCTCGAATACTATTTGAACGTTGTAAAAGAACGTTATTAAGATGGTATGTTATGTTTGAAATGTTGGCTTCCGTTTACGTACAATGCAACCTTCCAATCGTTAACATTGATATAAATTCCATCCAAAGACTTTGATAGCGTTTTAATCATAATTCTGGCTGTTGTGAGTGCTTTATAACTCAATAATACCTTTAATGTTCAGAGCGTTGCTTCAAAATTATATACTGTAATGGTTAAATTCAAAAATACTTGAACTATACATAAATTTAATAATATAGCATTTCATGATTTGTCTTGAGGAAAAAAATTGTCTAGAATATTACGCGCTAAGTGACTTGATAACAATGAAATCCATTTCCGTTATTGGACAATGAATGAATAGATCAATACCATTAATTATTTTCCGTTTTGAGTATAAATGGCCGCGAGTCCTCACATTTCCTTAGTGTAAACAGATCATCAGTGAAGTGACATCCTTTAAGATAATTCGTCTTATCTCATAAACATCTTAACTGTAACAATGAATTGGTCGATTTTGACATCCCTTCTTGCTCTTGCCGTCGTTATCTTCGCCGATGAGCGCTATACCGACAGATATGACAATCTTAATTTGGATGAAATTATGTCCAACAAAAGACTGCTGACTTCTTACATAAAGTGTATTCTGGATAAAGGCCGTTGTACACCCGAAGGAAAAGAACTTAAGCGTGAGTAAACTTACCTTAACATCTTCAATGTATTTTTTAATACAATTATGCGTAATTGAAACTTATTTGAATTCGTGATCAATTTATTTCATTATGCGAATGCAAGTTAGAAACGATAAGCCAACTAAATTAAAGTATATGATTCAATTTTGAGCTCCAGTATGCTAAGCTTTATATTCATTTTCTTGACATTGCGCCCTAATGAGACCAGACAAATCAACAAAAAAAGCTGAAATTACGGGTATAAATGTATTGAATAAAATGACCACACATTATTAAATTAAACTATTTATTGATTTAAAACTGAGTATGCTTAATTTAAATTTATAACCATATCCTATAATTTATAAATTTCAACTCCACCATAACTACAAGACCTCAATATATAGCGAGCATTTTCTGCGTATTAAATTTATGATTTCAAAAATTTACGGAAGCTTGATAACTTGATATTAAATGTTGCAAAGAGTTCAAAACGCCAAGAATTTAAAATAAACTCCTAAAAATGAAATAAAAACTGTGTAATTTAAGTGTCTTTATGCCGAACAACTAACGAATGTGACATTCTTGTTTATGGTTCTTTACAAGTATAGCAAAATTGAATTTTATATCGTGTAGTTACAGCCTAAGCGAAAGAGGAGTCCTTACAGATGGTATCAGGGTATAGTCCACACGCATTCCCACTACGGATTAGCAAACTTCTCATATATTCGAAATATTTTTGTCATTATTTCGAAAATATGTAGAATTCCTCACAATCCTTCACCGCTGAACACATGATAATTCACGGCTTAAAATTGACAATTTTGTTGGTGCTCGCATCAAGATTTGAACAGAGATTGACACAAGTAATATTGAATTAAAAACGAACCCGGACAATGAGCTGTCTCTGCTCTTAACCCAAGGAGTTTACATCATCGAAGTTTTTTTTTATTCGAAAAGTTGTCAAACGAGCAGACGGTTTACCTGACGTTAAGTGAATGCCGCCGCCCATGGATATCTGCCGCACCCGAGGGTTACAGATGCATTGACAACCTTTTGAAAATAGGGCTCCGGCTACCTCACTCACGAGACGAAACGCGAAAGTATTTGTCATACTTCCACTTTGCGCTGGTCTTATGTGAGGTCGTGGTACTTACCCAGACGGGCCTGCCCATTCGTGCAACAGCCGAGGCAGCTGCGTGGCCCTGCCACCGTTTCATCAATAATACTTAAGAGCAATTATGTGCACTGTTAACTTGCTGTCTGAGTTCTTATTCTTTTTCCTTTAATAATTCCAAAACGTCATAAATTACTTTTGTTAAAACCAATAACTTTAAAATTGAATCCGTAGAAAAGGTTATAAAGTTTCTCGCCGCTGCACTGTGGGAATCGAAGCCACGTCTTCCAGATTCGCGCCCAGACGCTTTAACCTTATGCTAAATGGCTGATTGTCACACCGATATTTTAAAATTATATAAAATTTAATGGTTCATCTTAAGTGTAGTGAATAGCACTATAAAAGTTTTAATTTTATATGCAATCGTAAGTTAATTAAAAAATAAAATTTTATAAAGAAAAATATGCTCTACACACCTCAACAAATAATTTTTTGAAATTTTTTTACAGTTCACATTACGGACGCCATGCAAAACAGCTGCTTAAAATGTACAAATTTCCAACGACATGGTGCCAGAAAAATTGTTAAGTTCATTCGTGCAAATGAAAAGGATTCTTGGGAACAGATAAAGAAAAAATATGATCCGAACAATGTGTACAAAGATAAATACGAAGCCTTCCTTGAGGCTGAAAATTAATTACTGAAAATAAAACTTGACAGTCGTATTAACCATATATCATATATCAACTACATGTCATTTGTAAAAAAATACCTGTTCGTTATATGCTTACAACATTTATAATAAATTATATTTTATTTTACTGTTAAAAGCCTAAATATAACGTCTAGCCTGAGATAAATCTCAAAATGTAATCATTTAATTATGAAAATGTTATTATTTTCTTTAATATTTATTAGATTTAAACTTATCAAGTTGCTAATAAGGATCAATATTTTAAAATAACAGATCACATTAATGCATAGAGGTTAAACATTTAATTATCTTCTAAGTGCTATGTATACTTTCATTAATAACAACAAACTGTTAACAATTTCCAAGTCCACGTGAAATTTATGTATGTAAAACGTTCTTGCAACACAAAAAAAAGACAAACTAAACAAATAAACAAAAAATATAAATAAAAATTTACTGTTCTTCTTTCTTTATTCAACATAGGCTTATTCTACGCACTCATTGAACATCAAAAAACGTTTCAATAAACGAGACCTATCCAGAGAAGAACTAGCAGGAAATTCTGCGATCTTTTTTATCTTTTTTTATTATTATATATGTTGATAGTGTTCATTATCTGGCACCCATTTACGGGATAATTACAAGGAAGAAGTGGCTTACGCTACCCATGGACAAGAACCTTATGTTTAGTATACTTTCTTTGACTTTTATCTTCTTTACGTAGTATAAAAGAAATTCGCTCTAAATCGCTCTAAATCTGTTTTACGCTTAGAACTTTTAAACTGCGAAACGGACTTTAATGCGGTTTTTAACAATAGATAGAATAATTCAAGCGGAAGATTTGTATGTATGGTATTCATACATATTATAGTAGAGAAAAGCCGAGAAATTCAATATCTACATTGCACCCATGCGAAGCAGGAGCGGGTCGCTAGTGAGTAATAAATGTCTTTTAAATAAGAAAATCTTAAACACAGGAACTAAGAATTCCTCTTATCAACATTGTTGCAAGTTCATTTGAAACAATGGAGGGTATTAGTAATACGAATCATATTATTTAACGTTGATATTTGTTAAACACTTTACTTTGATACACATCAAACGTGACGTCACGTTTTCAATGATATATTTAGACATTGTATACCAACATTTATCCCATTTTTCAAAGTTTTAATAATTGATAGTTTTCATAATCAGCTGGTAGTACCTACCTAACTTCCCAAACTATTAGCAAATATTAGAGAAACAACATACGCAACTCGGGAATAAGTGGTATTACAATCAATATTCGACAGCAAAATGTGTATTAAAAAATTACCGCCTAAATTGGCAGCCAAATCAGGAACTAAAAACCCTGTCACTAGAACTTCCACTATATTTAAATGCCTACGTGTCCTTGTAGAGGACCGCTCACGGTAGTCATATTGCTAAAAATTTCTTCAAGGCATTGCCTTGAAGTAATTTACGTCCACATTGGAGGTAGAATAAAACGTAAAATACATATATGTATAAACTCATATTGTACATATGATATTTAATTAAATTGTTGTATGCGTTATTATGTATAAATAACAACTCATACAACATAGCATGAAATACATAGTGAAAAAACACATTTTATTATAGATATAACTTAACTTCTTCTTTTTGATTATTTTTTTACTACAAAGGCAAATCTATAATCAAAAACAAAATATACTTTACACTTATTATTAGTAGTATTTATTGTACCTTATTAAAGGACAGAAAGCAAATTTCATCACTTTCGTGGTGAGTGACATTTACGTAAAAATTTTATTACATTAAACTTATTACCTTTGTTATAAGTATAATTATCATATACTAGCTGCTGCCCGCGACTACGTCTGCGTACAGCATACCTAAAATCTGCGACAGATATACCTAAAATATGTATATAAATTATAGCCTATGTCTTATTCTGATGTATAAGCTAGACTATTGTAAAGTTTCATTTTAATCAAGTAGTATATAGTAATAAAGTAGTATATGCGTGAAAGAGTAACAAACATCCATCCATACATACAAACTTTCGCGTTTATAATATTAGTAAGGATTTATGTAAGTCGAGGATATTAACCACTCAAAAAACAGTCAGTAACTTCATATTCTTGTCTAGATAAATTATGAATGTCTACTTAAAGAGTTAATTACAGCACAACTATTAGGTACTGTTAAACGATAAAGTAAATTATGAATGTAATGTTGTGAACGCTTTTTCTTCCAACATCTTTGGTGACTGTCCACGCTTCACCATTTTTGGTTAAAGATATTTATATAATTTCCGCCTTTATACTGCACTATAAATAAAAATAAAGAAACTTCATACAAAATAAACACCTAAAAACGATGTAAACAGTGTATAGTGGGGAGTTAAAAAGTAGGTAGTTTAATTTTTAATATATTTTTATACTTTCAACATCTTCATAAGCATTGCTGGGCATAGGCCTCCACCACAGAAGGAAAACTCTAATGAGACGTTTGGTTCAGGGATCTCCAAAGTTCATCCGATTATAAGTTCCAACATATTTGACACACACAGGTATCTGTAAAATATAAATGGATGGCCTATGGCCAACAAAGTGATCACCGATGAAGATTTAGCTTCATCGATTATCATTTTTGCTACTAGCCCGATTGCAGTACTTTATAGGTGAGACTTCTAGTGTCAGCTTTTAAGTAAAAAAAAAAAAAACGTTGTGTACTTTTATGAAACCACGATTCAACTGAAACTTTTCTCGGATCGTAGACATTTAACTGAATATTTTCAGTTCAATATGAAAAAATTAATCATTCAAATTTAATATAAATGATACACTGTTAGCTGATGGGAGCCATAGGCGCCACCATATTGACCTTGACTGCTCTGCCTAGCGCCTTTCACTTTTGTGACACTATAAGAAAGCGTACGGAATAAATGCCGAGATAGGGCAAACATTTCATTTATCTGTATAAATATAGATTTCATCGAGATATAACGGATCATCCTGTATCAATAACTACTTAATACTGTTCGGACGAAGGGGAGGAGAAACTTAAAACTTACGGGCCCTATATATTGGTAACTTTGAGATAAACACTACCTTATTCAATCGCTCTTCAGAATTTAAATCAGATCAGTAAATGGTAAGCTTTTTAATATATATCCAATGAAGTGTCACTTTATTATATTATTCAATAAAAAACATGTATATAAAGTTTTTATGCTTTTGTACAACTTTCTTATGACAATTAAGAGACAATACTATTTGTTCCACTGCCAGTGCTTAATTAGCTTCCTGTACTCCTTACCTACCCTTAACTTCGATGTATAGAAATTATTGGGTAAAGCCCACCTCCCTTGTCTGTTACCTTACATATCTTCGGAATTATGTTTTTATTTATAAATCTCACAAATGACGGTTTCCCCACTAAGTGAATGAGCACTTAAATTTGGTATCAACAAATTCACTGGCACCGACTACTGAATAGGGTGATTTATTGAACCCTAGAGCACGGGACACAAATGTGCGCCGTGACAACTCAGTGCCTATGTGTGCAAATAAATATAATGTGAGCATAATGATTAAAACCTTTTATGTCTCATTACTTTCTCATTTGAATTTTATCCCACTTTCCAGATGACATTAAAGCTAATTGTACTTATGGCCGTTCTGGCAACAGTTTTAGCCGCAGAAAAGGTGACTCATACCACGAAATACGACAATATCGATTTAAAAGAGATCAAAGGAAACAGAAGATTACTTTTGGCTTATGTAAACTGCGTTTTGGAAAAAGGCGAATGCAGTCCCGGAGGGAAGAAATTGAAAGGTTAATTGACAGTTTTTTTCTTAATACAAAGTATGCACAACACTCTCTGGTGAATCGTTTACAAAAAGTTTTTAAAAAAAGATTCCACTCAGTTGATATTTTCAATTTCAGTTGGGATAACTTTAAAAAGGATGTGTTGAAACTCATAATGTAGTGAGGTAAACTAACTCATTAACTGACACACACACACGCACGCACGCACGCACGCACGCACGCACGCACGCACGCACGCACGCACGCACGCACGCACGCACGCACGCACGCACGCACGCACGCACGCACGCACGCACGCACGCACGCACGCACGCACGCACGCACGCACGCACGCACGCACGCACGCACGCACGCACGCACGCACGCACGCACGCACGCACGCACGCACGCACGCACGCACGCACGCACGCACGCACGCACGCACGCACGCACGCACGCACACACACACACACACACACACACACACACACACACACACACACACACACACACACACACACACACACACACACACACACACACACACACACACACACACATATGCGCGCGTGCGAGGGAGGCGCATACGAGAATTATGTATGTTGAAAATCTTTTAATTTCCTTATAATTCTTTTCTAGATGTTTAGATGATAACTATAAGGATACTAATAACGTTTACATTTAGTGAACGGTTTAGTGACCTTTGCAATGTAAAATAATTGAAGTGCAGTAATATTCATGTAGATAATTTTGCTTAGTCAAACTGCCAGATTAAATGAAAATTGAAATTAAATAATACTCTTTGGTTTTAGCTAAATTAGAATATAAAGTAGGTATTTGTACATAAAAAAAAAACACGTATTACAGGACAATAACTAAAATTGTCATTTACAGAAAATCTGAAGGACGCCATTGTAAACGGTTGTAAAAAATGCACTAAGGCACAAGAAGAAGGCACAAAAATCATTATTGAGCATTTGATCCAACACGAATTGCCGATTTGGCGAGAACTGTGCGCCAAGTTTGACCCTGAGGGCAAATGGCGAAAGGTGTATGAAGATCGCGCCAGAGCGAATGGCATCGTTATTCCGGAATAAGTTTACTAAAGGACAGCTCAACAAGCTAACAAACGAGATTATTTTATTGTTTTTGTACTTTAGATCTTGAAATCGTGTTCTGTCATAAAATTTTATGTATTTTATTTTATTCCGAGCTGAAGTACTAGAGGCACAGTAGACTGCAACAGTGTTTTTTTTTAATAAAAAATATAAACAATAGTACCTTAATTAAATGTGGTAGGGCCACGCAGCAGCCTCGGCTGTTGCACGAATGGGCAGGCTCGTCCGGGTAAGTACCACGACCTCACAGAAGACCGGCGTAAAGTGGAAGTATAATACTTTAGCCTTACGTCTGGTGCGTGAGGTAGCCAGAGCCCAATTTTCAAACGGTTGACAACGCATCTTCAACCCTCGGGTGTAGCAGCTGTCTATGGGCAGCGGTATTCACTTCACATCAGGTGAACCGACTGCTCACTTGTCAACTTGTCACATAAAATAAAAACTTTTTCTTTTTTCTTTCCTTATCAGAATTTTTTATGCACTTCACGGATAAACACAAATAATGATAGTATTCATAAATATTTATTCAAATCTTAACAGCTTTCAACTCTGATTCATATCTCTTGACGTACTTGTGGTCGCAGTCGTACTTGTCAGTGAGTTGCTTCCAGAATCCGGTTTCATTGTTGATGAGGTGGGCTATCACAATGCGGGTGCCACGTCGTTGCGCGTCGGTGCACTTGCCGCAATAATTCTCCAGTGCCTCCCTAATGTGCGCTGAATAAACAAAATGGATTACTTTTTTCAATGGCTTTTCTTAAAATTAATGTTCCCTTAAAAAGTTACTTCCCTATTTTAACGCATAAGCTGCAGAAGGAGATATTAATTTCTATTTTTATTAATTACCAACAATTTAGTTTTTGAATTTATACTTCTTTTGGCGCGTTAGGGAAAAATTATGTGAGTAAATTTTTATGATGCGCGCGCACACCGTCATGAAAAACCGACACCCTGAAGTTAGCTAGACATCTACGTATGTTTGCGTGAGAACTGACAACTGTATTCACGATATTTATTTTGTGATATTTAAATAAACTTTATTTAACTAGATAATGCGTTATAATAAAACTTTCAATGTATTAAATACCTTTTTTCTATTGTTAGTGTCGTTTTTTCTACAAACGTAAGGCGAAAGATAAAATTTTTGAAAAGATTTTTATCTTGTTACGCCAAAGAATTATAACTTCTAACGCGTGTACACACACTTTTGTTTTATGTTGATTTAAAAAAAAATAAGAAAATTGGAGAGACAAAAATAATTGATTATCTGTATCAAGCAGCTCAAATGTTTAAAATGATATAGTATTTACATTTAGCTTCCCAGGAAATATTGATTTAAAAAAATACGAACTACAAAGTGCAGTAATAATAAATAGAAATTAGCATAAATATCGACTTGTCGGGATGCGACATAGATATAATGGGAAGGGACCCAATGTATCTATATCGCATACGGGCAATAAATTAAGATGAAAATTTGACAGTGGAAAAGTATAACCATTCAACTAATAATATATGATAAATAATCGTTTAAAATTAAAGCTATTGAAATGTTGAAAATGATATTTAAAAATCTCATTTGCCTCAAGTCAATCTAGCGACATGTTATTGACCTCATCATACGTTCGCTTCACACAATCAAATCTTGTATCGTAAAAAGTCTAACATATACGTCATAGTTAATTGTTTTATATATGTTTTATTTTTATTATCTTTCGTAATAACCTTAAAATAACCTTGATCGAGTTTGTTGCACATATTAACAAAATATTTCATGTATCTATATGAGCGATTTAAAAATGCTCTTCTTCAAAATCCCTGATGGACCAAATGTACGTTTTCAAAACTACTCTTAAACCTGTTTCTCTCTTCCAAATAAAAGTAAAGTAAACAGAAAAATGTAAAATAACAGCATATACATGTCCCACTGCTGGGCAAAGGCCTCCTCTATTCAGAGGGTATCAGGGCATAGTCCACCATGCGGCCCCACTGCGGTTTGGCGGACTTTACATATCTTCGAAATATATTTTTTTTGTTATCATTTCGAAAATATGCAGATTTCCTCACGAATTTTCCCTTCACAGCGGAGCACGTGATAAGTCAGCACTTAAAATTAATTACTTCATTGGTGCCGACACCGGGGATCGAACTCAGGTTGCTCGAGTATTTATTTTATTTTATTTTATTTTATATATTTAGGCTTACCAACTAAATACATACAGAACAATATTAATAAAGATTTACAGGTACCAACGGAATTAGTATATTTAATTAAAGGCGAGCGCCCGGATACTGAGCTATCACGACTCTAAACAATGTAAACAGTAGCGTTAAAAATCAATTTATTGTTAAATGGCATTTGAAAATAATTATCTGTGCTTGCAAAAATATAAATCTGTTTACAGATTAATCATAAATACGCAAGTGAATTAAAAAAACTTACACTTTAATTCTCTACCATCCGGTGAACATCTGCCTTGTTCCAGTAAACATTTAACGTACGGAACTAATAATCTTCGGTTAGATACAACTTCTCCAACGTTCAAATTGTCATACCGGCTCGTATATTTATCAGTTCGGGCGCTTACAATAACAACAACTGACAATAGCAAGAAATGTGCAGGAAATATCATTCTACAACAAAATATACAAAGATACAATGTAACATCTATGAATATGTCTATTGACAAAAAATATTGTCTAGTCATAATATAAGAATTACGTAATAGATTGCTTATACATACGAAGTTAAAATAATATTTAGAAATACTTACTTTTTTTTTTTTTGTAAAATCACCATCACTTTACACTTAAAGCCTAGGAGAGTTTCTGCTACACTAAAGAGATAACACCGTCAAGGTTTTTTATATAGTTGTTAGAATATTAGCTACCATAGAGAATATAAACGAAACGGGTTTAGTTTATTTTATCACAACTAGAATTTTTTAAAGAGCTTTGTGTTATCCCCCAGTTTCCGTATTATTTACTGTCATATAAATTTATTCATTTATATGTGTTTACAATTAATCAAGTCAATTAATTTACCTTTAAGTCTCCAATTTTAAACGGGGCAAGCAGTTTAATTAATGATTGCTCCTCTCTACGTGTGTTTAGTAATTGTTGTCAGACATTACATTACCTACACTGAACAGTAACTTTTTTAGGGCCACGCAAACTGTGGTAGGGGCACGCAAACTGTGGTAGGGCCACGCAAACTATTGTAGGGCAACGCAGGTCCCGGCAGGTCCGGACGGAGAATTTCCACGACTTCACAAAAGACCGGCGTGAAGAGGACGTGTTATACCTCTGCGTCCCGTCTGGGGAGTAAGGTAACCGGACCCCACTTTATTAAAAGGTGGCATCGCATTTGCAAACCTACGGGTGTTGCAAATGGCCGTGTCACTTAGCATCAGGTGAACCGCCAGCTCGCTTGCCACCTTCTCACATAAAAAAAATACACTGGACAGTAAACAGTTTCTCGAGAGGTAATCAAAAAAATGATTAAAAACATCAGTGTAATACATTAAAATAAACACCTCGCTACTTTAAAATAGGAGTAGCTGTGAAGTATGTTACAGCCCAATTATTATTCCTATCTGATTATTGAGGTCGATTAAAGATGAAATATTTCATGTTTAATCTTTCTTTTTTTTTATAAATTATATTATTTTAAATTTTTTGCACGTGGCCCAGAATCGTGCTTCGTGGCAGTCAGTGGGTGAGGGATGTACAACAGTGGCTGAATTGATAATGATGATGATGATTTTAGATTAATCATTTCATTGCCTTTAATTTTACCTTTCTTCGTGAAATTGTTGATAGCATGTTAAGTATTCACTTATCATATGCTAAGCGGTGAAGAAAAACATCGTGGGGAGACCTGCATATTTTCGAAATTAGAAAAAATATATTTTGAATATCTAATGCAAAAACCTTTTCAACGTAGCTTTTAGATATATAAAAATATAATCCCGATATACAAATGATGATGATATACAAAGTATTAAATTTATACTCTACACATGTAATTAAGTAAAGAAATACATTAAAATGGACCAGATACTTATTTATTTTTAAATTAGTTTTATGTCTATAAGGATTACTTTATTAAGCTTAACCCAAATGCGGAACTAGGCGTTGGGACCTCAGAGACCGCCTCGCGCTCGAACCACTTTAGAGTTCTCTAAAAACATCCCCATTCTAAAAAATACTTTGAATATCTACAATTTTCGAGCGCATCGATATGAACGAACTTTACTATGGAATTTTATAAACATTGCAGTTGAGAAATAGATAGATAATAGAAAACAGTTGTTAGGAGCTATACCGAAATGTTTAAATATCAACCCGAATAATGCTCACAGTGCATAGCTTCTTTAGAGAGAAGCATTCTAGCATGTTTAGTTGTGTTTAAAATTAATCAAAAACTAAAAATATATTTGAATAAATTAAAATTTATTTTAATATTGCTCATCTCTTAGTAACATTAACGTTAAATCTTGAGATATATATATTTAGCTTCCATATGTTTGTGTCGAATAAACTCAATAACTCACCCATGGGTTAACCTGATGTTTGTACACTACATCTTAATATACACTCTTATTTAATAGTTAATAAGAGTGTATATCTGTACATACTTTATTCTTAAGTCCCAACGGAAACAATAAAACACAAAATCACTAGCTGACCCCATCCATAGCCAAGCGTAACCGCTAGTGTTAAATAAAAATATTAATTTCCTTTTATAATGCTTTATTATTCGAAAATAATTTATTCGAAATCCAAAAAATAAAATAATCTTTTACATGTCGTCCCGCCGTCGATGTAATTAGGCGGAAACTTTGCGCAGTTCGCTTTCGTATTTGACAACGTATTTGCGTTCGGGGTCGTACTTGGCGGTGAGCTGGTTCCAGTAACCCTTTTCGTTGTTTATCAAGTGGCCGATGACGCGTCTCGTGCCGGACTTCTGCGCGTCGGTGCATTTCTCGCAGTAGTTCTCGAGCGCTTCCTTAATGTGCGCTGTTAACAAAACGATAGAGTCCATTATTCATTGGCGTCTCTGATTCATTACCTAAAGTTGTATACATATTATAATCATTCATACCAAAGTCAACTTTTCTTTTTATAATACCACATTATTATATTTCCGAATCACTTAATGTTTTTTCTCTCCAACGCGTCGCTTATAATAACCGGTTACTGGAGTAGGGATAAGACGAATGTTTTGTTAAATACACACGGTTCCATAGTCAAGGTCTAGGTTGCTGCAAAAACGTTTCTACAACATTTTACCGTGTTGATTAAATTGAACATAAATATTTATGAGAGTCAAGTAAAAATGTAAGAATATTTTTCCATGGGATTCGAACTCGTGAATTGAAATCAGGAGTTGACCCCACAAACCACACCACGGAAAAGTCTTTGGTGCCTTTAAAGCGCAGGGATTCGAACTCGTGAATTGAAATCGGGAGTTGACCCCACAAACCACACATTGTAATCAACAGATTGCACCTATATTGAATCTTACCGTAATAATATTTTATACTTAAACTAATCATTACTTTACAATTAAACTTTGTCATGATTAAGTTACACTTTTAGTGTGTTCAGAAAGACAAGAAACACAAAAATCTTCCATCTCATTCAAACAACCATTGATTGCAAACCTTCGCCACGTAAAAATCACATCAGTCGCACGTAACAGTATTAAACTAAATTAGAATGGTGGAAGGATACGGTCCTAAAGTTAACTATAAACTCTGTAGCGCAATTGCCGAGGTATTGTCTTGGGCGCCGTGGTCTAATCCCCACACGGAACAACTACAGATAATGTTTCAGATGTGGGTGTTGCTTCACGTAAAATTAATGTTTGTAAAACGCTCTTACAGCACAGGATAATCCTTACTTATCCTTACTAATATTATAAACGTGAAAGTTTGTATGGATGGATGAATGTTTGTTACTCTTTCACGCAAATATTACTGAATGGATTTTAATGAAACTTTACAATAATATAGCTTATACATCAGAATAAGACATAAGCTATAATTTATAAAGATATTTTGTGAATTTTCCAAAATATAGGTAATGATAAATGTAAACTAAGTAGGAAAAACTTCAGCCATCTGCGAGATATTCTGGTGTAAAATAAAAAGGGTTAATTCCCTTTGGCCCACGTGAAAGTAAAATGAATGAAACTTTACAATAATATAGCTTATACATCAGAATAAGAGATAGGCTATAATTTATATACATATTTTTATGTATGTATGCAAGTCTATCTGAATGTTACTCCTTCAGCCTATTCTTATAGCAGCTAGTATTATCATTCATTAAAGGCAATGCTTAAAAAATAGAATAATAAAATAAGCACCATTTTCACTTACATTTAAGCTCCTTGCCGTCAGGCGAGCATTTGCCTTCGTCCAGGATACATTTGATGTAGCCCTCTAGGAGTCGCTTGTTGTCCAGGATCTCGTCCAGGTTCACGTTGTCATAACGGTCAGTGTAGTGCTCAGGCCGGGCAAGCACCACCGACATGGCGGCAAACAGGCATGCGACGATAAAAGCTTTCATCTTGAAACTACTTTGGGAATGCACACGAAATTTTTAAAATTAGTTAAAGTGTAACTGAAATCGAAGTTATATTTGAATGGAATAATTATTTACCTACAATAAGTAATTTAAAAACACTTCTATTTTTATTTATCTATACAACTATTTAATTCGGGATAAATATATTACACTTAATACTAAATAATTTACTTTAACTCGTATTGAAACTAACATTTAGACAGAACTTGATAGAATCTTCAATACGTTCAAAATAATCTTGAACATAACCCATATATGTATAAAAATAATTACCTGAAAAAATTACAGTCGTATGTATTTCAAAGGTAGCAGCAACAGCCGAACTGCAATATTGCTCCTTTGCGGACTGGCTCTGTACTACTCTGTTCAAGACCTCTGCGAGCTTAATATATATAGAACACGGTAGGTAATTGTTGTGATATTGATCACTATGACGTAAAACAAATACCCATTAGTGTGCGTACAGACACCGATTAGGATCTTCCAATGAATCGCGTCTCACCGTGGAGTTTAATTTTACATACACAGTACCTACTTGTACGCCTCATGGTAATTAGTAATATTTAAATGTTTTTGCTTAAAAAGATTAACAATAACTAGCGAAGTACGGTATTTTCGGTCTCGTAGATCAAGGATATGACCTGTCTTAAAGAAATGTATTACATTTGCATAGCAAATGTCAACAAAATATTCGCTTCCAGTCTAGCTGAAAATGATAATGATAATAAAAATATTTATCTTCTATTTCAACGTATTATGTGAACGCGTAAGCGTCTATTTGAATGAAGATATTTTTAATTTGAATTTGAATAACAAACCTTGCCCACGGGACATGGTGCCAAGAACTACAGCTACATTAACTTGCTGTATAGGTAGTAATAAACTTTGAACGATAAAAACCAGCCCTCGTGTCACCAGCTGCAGGGATTAGTCTAGGACGTAAAACGTCCAAAAAATTTTGATGACAAAGTAGCCAAAGAATCTACGCAAGTAGCATCCCAAATTAGGGATGCTTTTGATGAGGCTCGGTTGTGTTCAAGATCATTTTGAACGTTTGTTTTGAAGATTCTTTCAAAAAAAATTGTTCAAATTACTTACAAGTTACATACACCAAGCACAAAGTGTAATATTATAATTAACATGAACTTAATATCTGTATCAGGAAATAAGTCTTTTGATTATTTATTCTAATGAAATTAGTAAAAATGATTTTATTTAAATTGAATAAATTTTATTTAATATGTAACAATTGTGTTAAATTCCAACAGATAATTAAATATATAAAAAATATAATCAAGTTTATAGAGAATATTCCAAAGATCACCAATTTCAAATTGGAAGCGATATATGACAAAAAATAATAAACATCAACAATAACAACTCTTAATTAACGAATATAAAATTCTGAGTAATCATCTATATGGTTTTTACCACACGCGCAAAGGCAAAAAATACAGGTAGGTATAAAAATAATGTCTTGTCCTGCAGGCTTCGAAAAATTTCCACGACGCCTGTGGTGTGTTCTGTGACGTATCAAGGCTTTCGACTACGTGGATTACAATAGGTTACCCATCAAGGTACCAATAATTTTTAATTTCGTATCTTAAGTTACAAATAGAGAACAATAAAAATATTTACTTTTTGTCAGTGAGCCTTTCCGGTAAAATTTCTATAATAATTTGGTCAACATTTTATGTCAATATTCATACTAATGCGCCGACATACGAAATTGTTATTTCTGCATATAACATTTGTCTGCAATTAAAGTTATAAAAAAATATGTTCTGTTAATAAAATAATGGTGAATAAAATAAGGTGAATAAATAAAAACTGTTTAGGTAATCGAGCATTTAGTTGTATGCATACTTCAAAATTAGACTGGCAGTCAATAAAAAAGGCGAAGAAGCCATATTCGAAACTTGCGTTTGAGTTTGCGAGACTGCACTCTTCTATCCATACAATCTTTGATGATAAACGGACTCGCTCCCACAATGTTTCACCGAGGGAGAGTGACCACGGGAATAATTACGCACATTCCCGCAACCACCACGCCGGCAGTGGCCGTCTCATTAGCCCTTCTCGAGGAGTAACACCCCTCCTTCAGGTAAAGCGCGCAAGAAAATAAAGTGCACCTCTCTATTCTGCCGCTTTTGCACTGCCCAGACGCCACAGGAGTGCTGCCATGGGAACCAGTGCTGGTACAGCACTGGTTCCCCTGGCAAACATCAAGCTTCCCGGCGATGGCTTACTTCAACTCGTTCTCTGCACTCATCCAAAGTGGGGCCAATGAACCCACTGAATGTCGATTTAGAGGCCACCCTACATAACAAGCCAGCCCAGTATAATCCTCGTGGCGCGGGGGTAAGAGACAGTTCGCTGGCCAGGGTACCATGGGAGCCAGTGTCAATAAGCAACAAGCCTCCCAGCCCCCAGCAGCGCATCTGGTCTGTGGCTCCGCCGCTCACCACGTTTTGACCGCGAAGGGTAGGGAGAACGGCGCACCGCAATACCGATACTCCTCTCCCCCCGCGACTCCTCCTCGGTAGCAGAAGACCGGGAGAGGGGCTCCACCTCTACCACCCTTGACCTATCCCCTGCACCCTCCAGCACGCATCCAGAGTGGGCCCAATAAGCCCAGCCCATTGGAGCGGCCCTCGCGGGCCGGCCTTACACCACAGACCGGCCTAATGTGGGTTCCTCTTAGCTTCGCCGTGGTTGACCAAGCCACGGCTGCTAAGCCCCTTCGCCACGTCAAGGCGGTGTAACGTTTTTTAGTGGGTGTCTAGATAATGATGGGAAGATTTAATAAAAGATTTATTAGCGGTTAAGAATTTGTATTTATCCCTTCAATTTAAAGTTACAATCCCTGGACTAGCTCAGATACAATATATTTTGTAATATAATAATAATAATAATAAGTTGGGCGCCTTGTCTGTTAGGAACAGACTGTTGTAATAATCACAATTAAGTATCTCAGGGAGTCGTGAGTACATAAGACCTACACATTACTTTGTGCGACCATAAAAAGGTTAGATAATTAAATTAATTTAAGATTATGAAAGTTATGCAATTCAATTTAAAAAATAAAGTCCAATCAGGTAGTTATTTAAAATCTGTGTCACCGCAGAGACATCTGCCCTGTGTGCACAGGTCAGCGTTGAGCTCAGAACCAGTAGAGAAAGTCAGGCCAAGTGTAGTGTGTACAGCCACACTGTTGGGGGGGTATGTAGGAGACCTCCTGCCAACAAACACTACATTGTAGAACTAACAAAGGCAGGGATTTGAATCCACCTACAATTATAAGATGTGAAACACTTACCAACTGGAGGTAAAAAACAATATTTAATAGAGCAGCAGCTCAGACCAGCTTGCCAGCCACCTATGCCTTCAGCATCCACCTGTGATATTCGAAAAACCATACTTAGGAACACGAGACAATAAATTCTCAATCTACCTTCATGTGAGATTTCTAAATACATTCACAATGCAAGTCTTTTACAATTTTAGTAGGAAACCAGTGAAAATAACAAAGAATCTTACCACGAGGGATAACAAATCCAGCACTGAGTTTCCCAGACAGCAATCACAAATAATACGACCAGGAACGTGTTCTGATTCAACCTCTAGCCATGCACTGTAAAAAAGCGAATTGATAAGAAAACGAAATACGTAAACAAAAACAACCACTGGCATGAACAAAACCAAGCAACTACTTACCAGTCGAAGATAATGGATCCACAAAAACTAATTTATCCAATGTCAATTCGATCCGGCGGCAATCTCAAATGACAAGTACCAACAAATGAACTTAACTTTTTGATTTGACCTTTCGAAAAGGCAAAGGTTCATATGACATGCAGCCTAGTCTTTAGAAAAACAACAATTTCGACAAAGTGATGAAATCACACGTTACAATATCCCCCAAGCACACAGAATTCACCTTGGTGAATTCACGGCTGTCCTCAGCCGTAAACTACTAAACTGAAGAAATGCAGTAAAGATCAAATATCAAAACAAATACTAAGATTTAAAAAAAAAACTACAAGTCTCAAGTCAAACTGAAAGAATAACTGAACAATCCTCAAAGCAACATTAACAGTTTCATCTTATAACTAAATTAAACATCCACCAAAAATAACTTTTAAGGAAAACCTCAACATCAAAATAAAACTTATCTATCTAAAAGACATGTGCTCGAATGAGAAAATTTTCAATAAATAAATAATGTATAGGTGACGATTTTCTGGATCAATCACAATCAGCTCTTCCTGCATAAATTACATACATCATAGAAATATAAATAATTCCCTAATATTCCACATAAATCCCACTATCGCAACCATCCCTATCAGACCATAGAAAGAAACAAGAGAAAAAGAAAAGAAGAAAAGAGTCAGCAGTCATCATTAGTCTCACAAACACCTTGCATAATTCCATCAACCACAAAACCATGTTTACTGTTTATTGAAATAAATATTAAGTTATGTAAATTATAATAAATATATATTGATACTAAATATATGTGGAAACCATATTAATATTATTCACTCCCCAACTAGTGATTAATAACCCTAATCTGACTATACAGTTCGCCTTTTCAATATAAGACTAACTGAAATCAATGTCTTTGAGTCACCCTTTTTCATAATTATGACTGACTCTTGACAATCCCCTATCACTAATCAAGTATTGAGTGAAAAACAAATACATAGATAACATCTAATGTGAATGAGTTAGCATAGCTTTAGGCTTATTTAAAGAGTTGCTAACCGCTCTGTAAAAAAAATGCTACTCGAATGTTAAAGACTACCAAAATTATGTAGGTTTTAAGGCTTATTTAACGAGTTACCTACCACCGCTCACTATTGTTCACTATGGCAATTATAAGTAAATAATTATTATAATTTTACATATATAAATAATGTTGGTTATGATATAACTTCATAAATATTTTATTATTATGTAAATGACTTTAATAATTT